TTTTTTGCCAATGCCTCTATCCCCTTCGGCTGAGGTTGTAAGTTCCCTGGTCCTCAAACAACCCCCACCCCCCATTCTGGACGTAACTCCTCGCCGTTAAACTGGCAGTTTCGACACCTGTCCAAAATCACCTCTTTGCGCCTTGTGCTAATTTCCATGTGTCAAAGAATAGCGGACAGGCGTCGCTGCAACATGCACTGGCCATCATTGTGACACACAACAGCAGCCCGTCTATCGCGCCAGCTACTCAGACTCCACACGACTCATACCCTCATCCGCGAGACGTATTCTAGTCAAAGCTGCAGAGGCAGTTTCCTCCGGCTTCCGGGTTGTCGGTCCATCTGTCGTCCTTCTTCCCCGCCTGACGCCAGTGGCGCTCACCGAGAATGAGTGACTACCGGTACAGTGGCGGACCGCGCCGCTTACGCCGCTGCCCTTTTAGGCCCCAGAGTGGGACCACCACGCAGCCGTCGCCTAGACTTCAATGTTAGCGTTTGCCCTGTGGTCTGGTCGTGTGCGGAGTAGATGATCGCGCTCCACCACCGAGAGACCAGTCAAAGCGTTGCTTGGCCTCAGTCCTCATGAGACATGTGTCAATGGGCCTAACCCTTGGCCGGCGGAACGTAGTGCACGAAGACTATACCGTCCCTGCCCACGTAACGGTCCCGCATGTCTGTAAAGGTCTGCAGCCTGTCAGGCTGTAGGGGCGTGGGCTTGTAGTCTTCGTCGAGGAATGGGTTCGGGAAATAGCTGCGTAGCAGGGTTTCCTCACTGTGGCCGGAAAAGCGCACGTAGTCAGCTCACCGCCCGCGCCCGTGGGTCTGTGTCTCCACAAACTGAACCCCTGCAACGTCCTTGAGCGATATGTGAAAGTGCCAGTTCTCAGCTTCAACAGTTATGGAGTCGTTGTGGCGTTCGGGCTTCTGAATTCCCTTAGAATTCTGTTCTCACTGACCACGGGGCCACCACCGACGACCCACATCATGGACTCGTCCGAGGTTAGTTCCTCAATGAGGTCCAACGCTATTTCCACTTTCCATCTCCTTGGATAGCCAAAGCTTTAGGCAGACTCGGGTTAGGTTTCCCTAGGCGCTGGCGAGACCCTCCTGACGGGCTTCCAGGTCGGCCTCCAGTTCCAGGTACAGCTGCTGCAGTTTCTTCGTCTCCCGCATTCTGTTTCTGGAGTGGGTTTTCATGTCCCCTCGCCAATGGCCCGTCGAGCATGCGCTCCACGATAACCGCTTGAGGGCCAGGGTTGCTTTGGCTGAAAAACGTTTGGGTTCCGGGTCCAGGACATAACTCTCGGTTACGTCCTCGTACATCCAGTCCTCGACTACCTGGGCCGTGGCATCATAGCCAAACATATAATCGACTGTCGCGGCGAGCTCGAAAGCCCCCTTATAGCCGTGGCGCTTCATCGAGTCGATCCACTTGGGATTGACCACCCGGCTGCGGAATACGCGCCTCGCCTCATCCTGCAAGTCCCGGTTCCTGGCCCGCGAGGGGTCTGAGCTGTCACCGAAGAACTGGCGGGGGTTGCGTCCAGTGAGCGCCCGCACAGTGGCAATCATACCACCGTGGTACTGCATGTAGTCATCGCTGTCGAAGATGTCGTGCTCTCGGGTGTCCTGGTTCTTGGCGGCTACTACAATCTGCTGAACCGCCGCCTGAACTGCGACCGCGCGTTTACACCGTGTTCCTGCTGGTATACGCATAGCCTCCCCAGGCGGTGTAGACCTCGGCAAGGTCCTCCACGGTTTCCCAGTTTCGTTCGTCAATAACAGTGAGGATGCCCGCGCCGTAGGTGCCGGGTTTGCTTCCGAAGATGCGGTAAAGGCTGCGGCTCCTGGGTGTACCGTCGTCTGCCAGCTCGACCTCCTGTGGGACTGCGAGGTCCTCGCGCAGGTGCTTGACGACATAGTTGTCTTCTGAAGATTCGTCCAGCGACGCCACCATCTGTACGCCTTCGTCGAGCAGGTTGATCAGATTGGGGAAGGCGTCCCGGAAGAAACCGCTTATACGAACAGTAACGTCGATGCGCGGGCGGCCCAGCTCCTCCAGAGGGATGACTTCAATGCCCATTACACGGCGGCTTTCGACCTGCCATCTGGGACGGACGCCCATCAAGTGCAGTATCTGAGCAATGTCATCGCCATGGGTGCGCATGGCCGATGTTCCCCAGACCACCAGACCCACCATTTCCGGGTAGGCGCCCTCATCCTCCAGGTACTTGTCCAAAAGGGACTGGGCCAACTGCTTCCCTGTTTCCCACGCAGCCGGAGACGGTATGGTCTTCGGATCGACGGAATAGAAATTCCTGCCGGTGGGAAGGATGTTGGCCATGCCGCGGGTCGGCGCGCCGCTGGGGCCGGGAGGAACGTACTTACCCTCCAATCCTCGCAGCAGGTTGCCGATCTCGTCGGGTGTGCGCATCAGTGCGGGATACACCGCGCCCGCCACGTACTCCAATACCGACTGGGTCTGCGCGTCGGGTATCCCGAGGATGCTGTTCACCACAGGTCCGGCATCTCTAACGGCAAAGTCTCGTTCCAGCATCTCTCGATACGCTTGGCGGCACAGGAGCTCGATGCCCTCCAGCACGTCGCCGTTGGTGCGTACCGCAGCGTCCGGGTTCAACTCGGCTATAGTGGTCGGAATGTCGCCTGCGTGGGGTTCGCCCAGATCGTCGATCAGGCGGGCGTAATCGATACCCAAGGCCTCGGCGATGGAGCGCCGCAGGCTTGGAATTCCGCCAATGTCCAAACGAGTGAGCGCACAGAGCAGCCCGATAAGCTGCTCCCCTTCGGGCGTGTTGCCCAGGATGTGCAGGCCGTCCTTGATCTGGGCATCCTTGAGCTCGCAAAGATAGCCGTCGATTTCCAGAATGAACCCAGCAAAATCATCCGGCTGCGACTCGATTCCCAGGTCGCGGTGCAACTCGGCCTGCTGTATCACCTCCCAGATCTGCGCTTCCAGCAATGGCAGTTTGGACGGGTCAAGAGTCTGGCACTGGTAGTGCTCGTCCATCAACTGCTCGATGCGGGCTATGTCGCCGTAGCTGTCAGCAGTGGTCATTGAAGGAATCAGGTGATCTACGACGGTGGCGTGGGCGCGGCGCTTGGCCTGAGAACCCTCTCCGGGGTCATTGATGATAAACGGGTAGAACAGCGGCACGTCGTCCATCGCCACTTCCGGGTAGCAGGAAGGCGACAGCCCGATGCCTTTGCCTGGCAGCCATTCGAGCGTGCCGTGCTTGCCCAGATGCAGGATGGCGTCGGCGCCAAACACGTCGCGCACCCAGCGGTAGTAGGCGATGTAATGATGGGTTGGCGCCATGTCTGGGCTGTGGTATATGGCGATCGGGTTGTCTCCGAACCCCCGGGGCGGCTGCAGACCGACAAATACGTTGCCCAGATCGATGCCCGCGATAGCGAGGCTGCCGTTGGTACGATAGACCTGACCGGGCGGTTCGCCCCAGTCTCGTTTCAACTCTTCGGCGACGTCCTCGGGGAACGTGGAGAACCATTCGGCATACTGGCGACTCGTAACGTGTCCGGCGGCTAGCCTTAGTTGCTCCTCGGTCAGAGAGTCGCGATCGTTGCTGCACCGCTCGATTATTCGGTGGACCAGTTCATCACCAGTCTCTGGAATGTCCTGCACCTTGTAGCCGGCGTCCTTGAGAGCGTTCAGAACCAGGACGGCGGACGCCGGAGTGTCCAGCCCCACTGCGTTCCCAATGCGGGCATCTTTGGTGGGGTAATTGCTGAGTATGACTGCAATCTTTTTTTCCGAGTTGGGCTTCAGCGCAAGGCCGGCCTGCTTGATGGCCAACCTAGCTACCATCTCCACCCGGTCCTCCCTCGGTACATACCGCTGGAGCCGTCCAACGAGGCCGTTCGACCCGTCCGTTGGTGCCTCCTCCTTGAACGAGATGGGAACCGAGATAAGGCGCCCATCGAATTCTGGGAGCGCAACGCTCATTGCGGTGTCGATCGGACCCAGCCCCAGGTCGCTTTCCAGCCAGTCGTCCTGGGAGCCGGTACTGATGATGGCCTGTATCATTGGAACGTTCAGGTTGTCGAGGTAATTCACGGACCAGCCGGAGGCGATGGCGGGCCCGTCGGTGCTGAGATCGCCCATGGACATGCCCATGGTGTTGACTATGCAATGCACCCGTGGGGAGCCATCTGGAGCGGCCAGGTATTCGGTGAAAGCCCGGTTGGCCACGCCATCGCCCTCGGGACTGTGCTTCAGGCTGAAGGCGTAGACGGGAAGGACATTGGCCCCCTTTGCTTCCAGGCTGCGAATCAGGCTATCGATGGGCAGCAGGTTTCCGCTCATCCAGTGGGCGCGATAGAACAGGATTCCTATGGAGGGGCCCTCCGGCTGGAAGCGCTGACCCAGGTAGGTTTCTACGTCAATGCCATTGGCGACATCGGGGTGGTAGATCCCCTCCCACGGCAGTGGCGCAGGTGCCTCGTGGCCGTGATCCGTCCCGAAATAGGTGTCGCTCAGGAACAGGAACAGGTTCTGGAAGTTGTGGACGCCGCCCTGCATCAGGTAGGCGAAAACCGTCTCAACTTCGGCCACGGGGACTGTGCAGGCAGTGACCAGATCCTCGTCCCATTCCTGGTGGCCCGGGCATGCGATAAGGGGAATTCCCTCCCTTCGGCAGTGGCGCACCAGCAGGTCGAAGCTTTCCGGCATTGCCCGCTTTCCGCCGAGCAGGCGGAGCACGACTGCTCCTGCATTAGACGCCAGCGACAGGACCTCGCCGCCCTGCTGTGCGTCGTCTTTCTCCGAATCTTGGTGAAGAGAGACCGGATTAACGGCGGTTACTGGCGGAAATCCCCGTGGGCAATGATGATAGCGCCCGGTCGGCGGTCAGGATGTCGGTGTCTGCGGTGGTAACAAACAGGATGGACTTTTGCTGCATTGCTCGCCCTGCGGACTCTCACGCCCTAACCTTAAGCTTCTCCCGGGGATAGTGGGAATTGTGTGGGTGTATCGCCGCTCAGAAACACCATGATGGAAAGGTCGCTGAAGTCCTCGGAAATCTCGCTGCAGTCCCGAAGTTGGCCTGTCCACAACTTTTCATCGCCAAAGGTAAGCCGCTGGTAGACCCGCATGGGCAGATCGCCCCGTACCCCTTCCTTGAGCAGCCCTTCAGCGATTCCAGCCGGCATCAAGTCGAAAGGCCGGGGCAGCAGGATCACGTGCCGGCGGCCCTCGCTGAGGTAGTGGATCAGTTCATCGAGTTCGCTATTGGCTTCAGCGCGCTTGTGAAGGGTAATGAAGACCGCCTCTTCCAAGGAAATACCAGTGCGTGCCATCGCCACCTGTACCGAGCTAATGCCTGGGATCAGACTCACGCTGTCGGCGCGGCGCCGGACCCTTTCCAGCAACTCACGGGCGGACACGTTCAGGTCTCCCCAGCAGCAGACTACGCATTTCCTTCCCAGCTTGACCTGGGTCTCCGCGTATTCTAGGACCTGCTCTTGGTCGCGATAGGACATGGGGCAGACCTCGGCGTGGGTCAACCAGGGCCGCACCACGTTGAGAACGGTGTTAAACCCCACAACGATGTCGGCGTTTTGCAACGCCTCCTGACCTCGCAACGTCAGCAGGTCTGAGCTTCCAGGGCCAACGGCCACCACGGTTATAGAACTGCTCGTATTTTCGCCGGTTTCAGTAATGGGAACGACCTCTCGTGCCTAAGAAAATGCTTCAGTAGAACAAAAACCCCCGGCTCCATTGCTGCCGGGGAAGTCTTCAGCTGCCAGCCTGGCGAATGTCGCCACAGTGCCTCTCCAATTGAGCGGAAAAGTTAAGACACCAACACCCTGGCAGGTTTCTGTCTCACAGGCACGCGATTGCTAAAGAGGCCCTGACCACAGCGGCGTGGCTGTGGTTGATTCTTACCGCGTTCCCTGTAGTATCGAGGCAGTCGCGCCGGGTGGAATCTCTAGATTTTTAACGAATTGTGGCCAGCATTCACCTTATCTGGACGCGATCGCCAGTTTAGTTTGCCGCCATAACATTGTCAATTTTCAATAGAATTGACGTGCTGGGCAGCGTTCTGTTTGAGGTGATTGGGCCATCTATTGTGTGTGGCCGCAGCCGGCGCCTTCCGACGTCAACGGTTAGCGGCCCTAAATCCCCGTTCTCTCTGGGATCACGGATGGTGCTGCGGGCCACGCAACAATATGAGAATTGCCTATCCCTATTGCACTACGACGCCACGTAAATTAAAGAGGGTGGGAAGTGTGCAATTCTGTAGATTTTTGTCGTTAAATTATTTTGGTTGCAGGGGTCATGGATGCGGGCCGGAATTGGGCCGGCGTGACTGGCCATGGGTCGCCTCGGTAGGCAGGTCGCGGCTTTGGGATTGTGGGGCAACAAGTCCACTCAAGGTTGATGCTATGGGAATGCCACGAGGCTTGGCAAGGGCCGGCTGTCAGCAGGGCCGCGTTTCGATTCAGGTGGTCTGGTCTCAATGGGTCGCATTGACGCGGGAAATGGGCGGGATCGAAACGCGCCCATACCTATGAAGTATGCGCACCACCCGGATCGCAATCGTAATGACGTCCTGTCATCAGTGATGGCAATGACTGATAATTGACAATATTTGGGGGCTACTGCTAGCATTCCGAGCATCACTTGGGCCAAGCAGTGCGGCGTGTGCGTTATTCTAACGCACATAGGGAAAGCGGTGAGATTCCGCTGCGGAGGCGCCACTGTAACCGGGTAGCCAACCGCTGAAGCCACTGTCCCGTTTCGGATGGGAAGGCGCGGGAGAGGCGAGGACCCCGGGAGCCAGGAGACCTGCCGTGCTGGGCTGAGCGGTCGCTCTTCGTCCACGGAGTGCTCAGGATGAGGCCGGTCCCCGTCGAATGGGGCAACAGGTCAGGTCTAGGCAATCCTTGTCGCGACTAGAGCGGCAGGGATTTTTGTTGCAGACGGCAAAACCTGAAACGCCCAACCTCCGTTCCAACGACAGGCATTACGGAGGCAATCGGATCGAGCGCCTATATTTTGGGTGGCTCAGGAGATCACCATTCCTGAGCCGCTCCCCGGTGCTGCTAAAGCTCGCTGGAGGCGCAGTTCCCCTCGTGATAATTGGGGTGGCCTTGATGGTCACTGCTGTGGCCTTGGGCCCCTATACCATTCCCTTTTCAAACACCGCAGACATTCTCCTGCACCAATTTGGTATCGGTGAAGTCTCTGCTCCGGAAGCGGAGCAGGCCATTGTCGCATCGATCCGCCTTCCCCGTATTGCCCTTGCGCTAATTGTTGGTGCAGCTCTCGGCGTTGCTGGCGCAGTGATGCAGGGACTCTTCAGGAACCCCATGGCTGATCCAGGCATTATCGGCGTGTCTGCGGGTGGAGCGCTTGGAGCGATAATCGCGATCTCCAGCGGTGCGCAGGCGGCCTTTGTGCTGGCGTTACCCGCCATGTCTTTTGCTGGCGCCGGTGGGACTCTTGCCCTGGTATACGCGATCGCCTCCGTGGGTGGCCGGTTTTCCATGTCGGCCCTCCTACTGTGTGGCGTAGCTGTGGGAGCGTTTATCGCGGCCATCATCTCCGCCATAATCCTGTTCACGGAGAACCTGGAGGCACAGCGAGATATGCTGTTCTGGCTGGCCGGAGGCTTGGACGCCACTCGCTGGGGAGACGTTCACCTGTCGCTGCCCTTCATTGCTTTCGGCGTGGCAATCTCCGTATTTCTGTCAAGGGATCTGAATCTCCTGATGGTCAGCGAGGACGAGGCTCGCTCTTTAGGGGTTCGCGTAGGTCTGACTCGCAACACCCTTCTGGCGGCCGCATCGCTGATTACCGGAACGGCGGTAGCGTTTTCCGGGACGATAGCCTTTGTGGGACTGATAGTCCCGCACGCCCTCCGCCTGATCACTGGAGCCGACAATCGCGTGCTGGTGCCGCTAAGTGCGCTGGGGGGCGGCGTTTTCATGCTCGCTGCGGACACGCTGGCCCGCATGGTCATTTCGCCCGCCGAGGTGAGTGTCGGGATCATCACAGCCCTGGTTGGCGCACCATTCTTCCTGATGCTGCTTGCTCGAAACAAGGCAAGGGCGTCCATGCTGTAAATCCCCGCTCAATGAGATAATGCGAGCAGGAATAAACTCTTGAGGACGGTCTTTTGACCCGAAATGCTTAGCAGTTGCAACATCAGACATATTTCGACCGTACTGTTGGTCACAGCGATGGTGATTCTGTCCATTGCCGCATGTGGCGAAGCGGCGGAGCCTACCGGCGCTCCTCCTATACTTCCTCCGGCCACCCCAACTCGCGTCCCTGAACTGGTACCTACTAACGCGCCGGTACCGGCGCCGACAAACACTCCTGGATCAGCGCCAATTTCCAATCCCCAGCCTACGCCGACCCTCGCTCCCACGCCGGATCCTACCAAAGTCCCATACCCCGCCGTACTGGGGATAGTCGATCCGTCGAACCTTGGTTGGCCGCGTCAGGTAGAAACCGACGAGGGCCAAATCACGCTCTCAGGTCCTCCGCAGAGGATATTGACCTATTCGCTGGGTCACGACGAGATGTTGCTTGCCTTAGTGGCGCCTCATCGGATAGCGGCCTTGGGCAAGTTTGCCACGAGTCCCGCTTATTCCAATGTTGCAGATCAGGCGGTAAAGTTCCCGGTCTTTGAAAAAGGTGCAGAGAATGTGTTAGCAGCGAAGCCTGACCTGTTAATTGTGTCGGCTTTTACCAAGCAGGATCTGGTTGACCTCGTCAAGGACGCCGGCATACCCGTAGCGCGTCCTGCGTTGGAGAGTTCGTCCGAGGGAAACATCCCCAACATTCTATTGATGGGCTACATGCTTGGGGCGGAGGAACGTGCGATTGAGCTTGTTGCCGATATCGAGGGCAGGCTGAAGCTCATCGCAGACCGGGTCCCGCCTCATGGCGATGCAGATAGGCCGGCGGTGATTTCAATCACTCGATTTTCTGACTCTATCAGCGTTTCCGGTGGAGGAACCAGCGGCAGTGGAATCATTGAGGCCGCCGGCGGCACAAATGCTGCTGCCAGGGACGATATTGACGGATTTCAGAAAATCAGCGTCGAATCTATAGCGGCGATGAACCCAGACTTCATCCTAATACCACAGGGACCCGAAGCTGGAGGAAACCAGTTACGAGACGATTTGCTGAGCGATCCAGTGCTCGCCACGGTTCCTGCAGTGGCCAACGGTGAGATTCACGTGGTCGATGCGCCAAACTTTATAACCCTCTCTCATTGGAATGTACGTGGGATAGAGCGAACGGCGGAAATATTGTTCCCTGACCTGTTCGCGGACGTATCATTCTCGGATTTCGAGACGTACACTGGGGAGTAGCGAAGTGGCTGTGAGCGAGGCACAGGCCGCCATTGCAGCACGGGACGTGTCTGTGAGGCTTGGAGGCAATCCGATCCTCAAGTCGGTGTCGTTCGAGGCACGGCCTGGCGAGATCGCGGGACTCATAGGTCCCAACGGCGCGGGGAAGAGCACGTTACTTCGCGTGCTGGCGGGGCTGATTCGTCCTGATGCCGGAACGGTTTCTATCGGGGAGACACCGCTGAAAGGCATGAATGCGGGTGAGCGGGCGCGCCGCATGGCTTTCATGCCGCAGCAGGATGTGGCCCACCCGTTTACCGCATTGGAGACGGTGCTGATGGGCCGTTACGCTCATTTGGGGCGGTTCTCACTGGAAGGGAACAGGGACCGCGAGATAGCAATTGCCGCAATGGCCCGCACAGATACAGCTCATTTTGAGGGACGGCAGCTGGACCGGCTGTCCGGCGGGGAACGTCAGCGGGTGATTCTGGCCCGCGCCTTGGCGCAGGAGCCTGGAGTCATGCTGTTGGACGAGCCGTCAGCCAGCCTCGACCTGCGTCACCGGCTTTCCATTATGGAGACACTGCGAGCGGAGGCTGCTAATAGGCAAGTCGCGGTCGTTATCGCGCTGCACGATGTATCGTTGGCGGGACGCTACTGCGATCGTATCTGCTTACTCTCCGAAGGCCGAATCGAAGCCGAAGGGAAACCTGTTGAAGTGCTCACGGCCGACAATCTCAGGAACACATTTGGAGTCGAAACGGTTGTGCAGATGGACCCAGCGAGTGGCTGTCCACAGGTCTGGCTAGTTGGACCATCTCAATAACTCGGCCAAATCTTGAATCGGGTCGGGAGGCTCGGAAGTATGGTTGCAGACTCGGTAACCCTAGCCCAAGCCCTTGAGCGGACAGGGCCGGCGAACGCTTCGGCCATGGCCCGCGCGGTGGAGAGGCAATCAAACCTTACCAAGCCCCCGGGCAGTCTGGGCCGTCTGGAGGAAATTTCCATCAAGCTGGCGGGCATATTTGGAACGGAACGGCCTGCTATCGGTGGTAAGGCCGTTATCATAGCCGCAGGCGACCACGGCGTAGTAGCGCAGGGTGTTACCGGATATCCGCAGGAAGTCACCGCGCAGATGGTTATGAACTTCCTCGCAGGTGGAGCGGCCATCAGTGTGATGTCCCGACACCTGGGGATAAGGCAGGTCATCGTGGATGCAGGAGTGGCAGCGGACTTGCCCGAACACCCCGATTTACGCAGCCTGAAGATTGATAGAGGGACCAGCGACATCAGTCAGGGTCCTGCCATGTCGCGTCAGCAGGCGGAGCAGTGCCTCGAGGCGGGCATCAACTTGGTCGTTGAGGTGATCGAATCGGGCGTGGACCTTGTGGCCACGGGTGACATGGGAATTGGGAACACAACTGCGTCAAGCGCCATCACGGCGGCGGTTACGGGACTGGACCCTGAACAGACCACGGGTGAGGGCACCGGCCGTAACCCCCAGGAATTGCAGCACAAGATCGGTGTTGTTCGCACTTCCTTGTCAGTCAACTCCCCGAACCCTTCCGACGGAGTGGACCTGCTGGCCAAAGTAGGGGGCTTCGAAATCGGAGTACATCGCTGGAGTCATCCTGGGTGCCGCAATGATGAGGCGTCCCGTGGTGGTCGACGGCTTCATTTCCGGGGCTGCCGCGTTGGTCGCTGGAGCAGTCTGCCCCGAGGCGCGCGATTACATGATTGGGTCCCACGTCTCGGCGGAACTCGGGCACCGAGTGGCCCTGGCGGAGTTAGGATTGAGTCCGATCCTGGACATGGGCATGCGTTTAGGGGAAGGGACCGGAGCCGCACTCGCCATGCCTATTGTGGAAGTTGCAGCCGCGACGCTGTCCGAGATGGCAACCTTCGCCGAGGCGGGTGTCTCCGACAGGGATCCCGAGGATGAACCGGCTGCGTGAACGGGTTTCGATCAGCGCTTGGTTTTCTGACGATACTGCCGGTCGCGCCGCGAGATGCAGGCGGTTTGGCGTCGGCCCGAGGCTGGTTCCCCCTGGCTGGGCTGATTCTGGGGTTTGCACTGGCTTCCATGGATCTTCTTCTGCACTGGGGTTATCCATTGTTGTCGGACGAGTACCGGCAGTTCCCACCGCTACTGTCGGCAGCGATACTGGTCGTGCTACTGGCCGGCCTGACACGCGCTCTGCACCTTGATGGTTTCATGGACTGCTGTGATGCATTGCTGGGAGGATTCGACCGGGAGAGGCGCCTGGAAATTCTGCGAGACTCCCACGTGGGGGCTTTCGCTGTCGTGGGAGCGATCAGCCTTCTGCTGGTCAAGGTTGCTGCTATCATGGCTCTTCCGGTGGGAGGGCGGTTCTGGATATTGCTGTTGTTCCCATGCCTGTCGCGGTGGTCGATGCTGGTCGTCCTGGAATTTTTCCCCTACGCCAGGCGGCAGGGAATAGGAGTGCCGTTCCAGCCGGAGAGACGGAGATGGCAACTGCTGTTTGGATTGGCAGTTACAGTGATTGCCACGGTTGCCCTGGCGGGACCGTTCGGGTTGGTATTGTGGCTGCTGGCCACGACCGTTGCGCTGGCATTCAGTGGCTGGGCGTCACGGCTCCTTGGTGGAGTGACTGGAGACGTCTACGGAGCTGTAAACGAGTTAGCCGAGGCATCGGTGCTGATGCTGGCTGCGATACTGGCTTATGCCGTCTCTGAAACTTTGCTTGAGCCAATCCATCGGTTCGGTTGGTGAGAGTAGTAGCTGCAAGCAATGGAGTGGCGTTTATTTCCCGGAGAGTGGTATCTTGACGCAGGTGCGCTGGCTCTCGCGCTTGCGCTGGATCTCGCCTTCCGGGAGTTGCCCGGTCCGATCCATCCGGTGATCTGGATGGGAAAATTGATTTCATGGCTGGAGAGGCTTGGGCCGTCTCCCGAAAATAGATGGTTGGCCCTCTCTTGGGGAGGCATCATGGCAGTGAGCCTTCCAACCTTGTTTGGCGGAGCCGCATGGGTAGCGGCCAATGGCCTGGGTGAGTTGGGTCCGGTTCCCTACCTACTGGGAGTGACGGTGCTCCTGAATTCCACGTTCGCGGTCAAGGGGCTGGCGCAGGCAGCCAAGGGCGTTCAAGACGCTATGGACGAAGACAGCATAGGCGAGGCGAGGGACGGACTGCGGAGCCTGGTAAGCCGAGACGCCGAGGCGCTTGACCAATCGCTGGCGTCGGCGGCGGCAATAGAGTCGGTGGCTGAAAACACCACTGACAGCTACATTGGTCCTTGGTTGGCCTTTGCGATATTGGGCGTTCCGGGGGCGTTCGCCTACCGGGCGATCAACACGTTGGACAGCATGATTGGTTACCGGGGTAAGTACGAATATTTGGGCAAGGCATCGGCTCGGCTGGATGACTTGATGAATTTGATCCCAGCGCGTCTCAGCGCTGGAATGATAGTGCTTGCCGGTGGTATGTGCCGTTTGTCGCCTGTACAGGGAATGCGCCATCTGTGGATCGGGAGGCGGCTAACCGCGAGCCCAAACGCAGGATGGACCATCGGGGCCATGTCCGGCCTGCTTGGCGTTGCGCTGGAGAAGTCTGGCCACTACCGCATCGGTGATGGTCTGGCAGATCCTTCACCACGGCACATTGGCATGTCGGTTCGCGTTGCGCTGGTCGTCGCCGGCGTGGGCTTAGTGGCGGTTGTGGGAGTTCTAGCCGCCCGCGGGTTGGCTACGGGTTGATTCAAGATGGCATCCGGGAATAAGAACGAGAGACCAGTTCACGGCGGCCTGAATTTTGCCGAACTGGAGTCATTGGGTATCCGATCGGAAGACTTAATCGACTTCAGCGCCAGCATAAATCCACTGGGACCATCGACGGAAGCCTTGGAGGCCGCGAGTAATGTGAACTTAGCGGCGTATCCGGATCCGGAATGCCACTTGCTCAGGGAGGCCCTAGGTGAAGCATTAGATCTCGATCCTGGTTGCATTCTGCCGGGAAACGGTTCGACTGAACTGATTCACCTCTTGGCCAGAGCATTTCTGGGTCCAGACGATCATGCCGTTATTTTCTCACCGACCTTTGGCGAGTACGTGGCAGCTTGCCGCACCGAGGGCGTGGAACCAGTAGCACTGACGCCTTCCCAGCACGAAATGTCTTCCGGAACTTTCTGGTGGGACTTGCCCGAATCTGTTGACCGTATTTCTGAGCTTACTCCGGCCGTGGTGTTTTTGTGCAACCCCAACAATCCCACCGGGGTCTATTTGAACGAAGCGGAAATACGAACTGTCGCGGAGGCACTGAAGGGCGTAGGTATTCTGGTGCTGGATGAGGCCTACGCTTCATTCGTAGAAGACGGGTGGAACTCGACGCATCTCATCTCTCTAGGGAATGTTGTACTGCTGCGGTCGATGACCAAAGACTACGCGTTGACCGGACTCAGGCTGGGCTACATGCTGGCAACGGAGGAGATAACCGGCCGGGTCCGGCGCTTTCAATACAGTTGGAGTGTAAACTCGCCCGTTCAGGCCGCGGGGATTGCTGCAATAGCTGATAGCGAACACTTGGCGAAAGGCCGACATACTGTGGCCCAGGGAAAGAGGTTTCTCACAGAGACGGCGCACTCGTTGGGCGTTGAATACACGGCGGGTGCTGCCAACTTTATGCTGCTGAAAGTGGGATGCGCTCGGGAGATTCGGCGCTCGCTGCTGACAGAGCACCGCATATGTGTCAGGGACTGTACGTCATTCGGTCTGCCGGAATATGTCAGGTTGGGAATCAGGACCATGGACGACAATCGGATGCTGGCAAGGGCCCTTGAGCTGGTCCTGGCCGGGAGCAGCGTCATTGCTTAAGCAGTTGATTCTTGTCTTGGGCGGCGCCAGGTCCGGGAAAAGCACCTTCGCTGAGCAACTGGCAAGTCAGGGCGGGAAGGTTCTTTACGTTGCCACTGCCGAAGCCTTAGACGAGGACATGGAGCGCCGAATTGCCGCCCACCGCGCCCAGAGACCCGCGGACTGGGACACTCTGGAGGAACCAGTCGACCTAATTGGCGCCCTTCCGGCTGCATTGGCCGGATACGATACTTGTCTGCTGGACTGTTTGACGCTCTGGGTCAGCAACCTGTTGCTAAGCAATGAAGGCAGCCTTGACGTGCAACGGGATATTCTGGCTACTTCCGATGAATTGATTGATGTATACGAACATTCGTCGTCCACATGGATCATCGTCAGCAACGAGGTGGGCCTGGGGGTGGTGCCGACCTCGTCGCTGGGAGCGGCGTACAGGGATGCTCTGGGACGGGTGAACCAGGTCATCGCGGCGCGGGCCGACAAAGTTTACTTTATGGTTGCCGGACTGGCGCTCGATCTGAAGAACCTGGGCGCAGTCCCACACACCAGCGCCGAACTGCGCCTTACCTGATGCCTCAGGCCAACGCCATCCGAAGGGCTTCCGCCTCTGCGCCTGGTACCTGCGGCGAGTTGGCACAGGGCATGCTCGACGGAATTCTGTGCATGGTGACCTGTCCCATAGACATGTGCAGCACCGCGACGGTTGAACTCTCTTCCGGGGAGGGAGCCATTTCAGCCCCTGAAGACTCTCCGAAGGCATCTCGGGCCGTCCGGGAAACGCTGCAACACCTCGGTGAATCGGGCGTTGACGCCCACCTGTTCCTGGACTCAGGGATTCCCCGCGGAAAGGGTATGGCCAGCAGCACGGCAGACGTATCGGCGGCCATCGTTGCCACTGCCTCAGCCGCGGGCCATGAGTTGGCCCCCGCCCAAATTGCCAAGATAGCCTTGGGAATTGAGCCCAGCGATGGCGTAATGTTTCCCCTGATCGTTATCTTTGACCATCGAGAGGGCAGGACTCTGCAGCCTCTAGGTCAACCGCCTCCTATGCGAGTCTTGGTGCTGGACTTCGGTGGCGAAGTGGACACCGTGGAGTTCAATAGCGCCTGCAGGGAGAGCACCCTTCGACTACTGGAGCCGAGGATGCTTGAGTCGGTATCTCTGATCGAGGCAGGGATGCGGCAAGGAGATATTTCCCTGATAGGGAAGGGGGCCACCATCAGCTCCGTCGCCAATCAGGAGATTCTGTTCAATCCCAACCTCGAGGCAGTGATCGATCTATCGGCAGAAGTAGGAGCCGTTGGCGTGAACGTGGCCCACAGCGGCACCGTTATCGGAATGCTGTTTCGGGACGATGTCGCGCTCGTGGAAAAGGCAACCGACCTCGCCAGGCTTCGCTTCGGTTGCCTTGAAACAGTCCTCCATTGCCGCGTGACAGGTGGTGGGGTTAGGCTTCACTGAACTGCCCAAGCAGGGGAGGCGCTACCGCTTCGGAAATTTGGGCGCCAGCCAGTTGAGGAAAGCGTCCTCGCTGCGAGTCTGCATGTAAAAACGGCCGGGTCCCTCCAGTTTGCAGACCAGGCCCTCCCCACCGAGAACTGTCGTTTTCCATCCTCCGGATCGTCCAACGTCGTAGCCGACGGACTCGTCAAAGGCGACCATATGTCCGTTGTCTACGGTGTAGCGTTCGCCGCGACCCAGGTCAATCCGGTGTATAGCGCCGTAGGAGGAAATGAACAGTAGACCGCTGCCGGAGCAACGCAGCAGGAACAGACCCTCCTTGGAAAAGAAGGAACGGGCGCCTCCCCACTGGGAATCCACCTCGATGCCCAAGGTGGATGCCAGAAAGGAACCCGACTGGACCATGAGCGTTTCTCCCCTCAGTTCCAGCACCTCAATGTCACCAGGAAGTGATGGTGCCACCGTTACTTCCCCCGACTGCTCGGCGGTGAAGGTGTTGACAAAGAAACTCTCGCCGCCGAGGACCGATCGCCGAAGGCCGCCAAATAAGCTGCCGCGAGTGCTTGTTTCCATGTGAATGGAATCAGACATGCTGACCATGGCGCCCGTCTCGGCCTGGATTTGCTCCCGTGCGTTCATCCTGATCCGTGCCAAGGCATAAGATGGCTTGTGTAAAATCTCGTAATCCATAGAACCCCTCCCAAAATTCAGTCCACCAGTACTCTTGGTGAGATATTTCCAGGCCACCGAATAAGGCGTTGACGTTGGGGCGAGCCGATTTCCACCGATCTCCCTTGATAAATTATACATTTTGCTGTCGGCGAGGAAGGGGTTCCTACTAACGTGTTCAAGGCAGTCGCGGTTGGTTATTTTGATGACATTAGCCGCTTGCCAAGCCTTGTAACGACTCCGCACCATATCTTGATATGCCAGTTGCTGCACACGGTTCTAATGCGTATTCCGGGTTGACGGCATGGCCGCCAAGTAGTCGGAGAACAGGTCGGAGAGCGAGGCCGGAATACAGTGGGACAAAATGGGGCGGAAATAAAAAATTTCTGTCCCACAGGGCACGCCGCAGATAGGAAATAACGAAAAATTGGGCCCCAAATGGGACGGAATGGGACAAAATGGGACTCGAATGGGAAATCTCTGTCCCAGGGGACTCCACATTGACTTCCGCCGGTCCGCCGCGCTCGGATAGCTGTACTCGATTCCCAGTCCAGCCACGGAATCTACCCAGCCAAATGCCGAGGACCTGCTAACGTGTTTGACCCTCCAGATGGGCGCGGGTATATTAGGCGACAATGCGATGGTCAGCTGTGGCGGAGACGGTGCACTGCATATGCATGCGTTGATCCTGGCGGGTGGGAAGGGTGAGAGGTTGCGGCCTCTTACTGACACTTTGCCCAAACCTATGGCACCTGTTGCCGGAAGGCCCATACTAGAGCATCAGTTGGACTGGCTGAAGCAGGCAGGAGTGAACAGTGTCGTCTTCCTGGCAGGATACCGCTGGGAGGCCATCCGCGAACACTTCGGCGACGGTTCTCGGTACGGAATGCGCGTCTCCTATAGCGTGGAGAGCTCACCCCTTGGGCGGGGGGGAGCTATCAAGCAGGGCTTTCCAATGGCGGTCGAGGATGAGGGCCCTGTGGTGGTTACCAATGGCGACATCATTACTCGCCAACCTCTGAACGGCATCATCGATTTTCACTGCACTTCCCCAGCCCGCATTAATGGCCCCTGCGTAACGCTCTTGGCGGTTCCTATGGTTAGCCCCTACGGCCTGGTAGACATGGACGAATCCGGTGGTGTTGTAGGATTCCGTGAAAAGGTGGAACTGCCGCACTGGATAAATGGGGGAGTGTACGTGATTGACCGGGAAGTTTTCTCGGAATTCCCCGATCTGGGAGACCACGAGGTCGAGACTTTTCCTCACTTGGCGCAGGCTGGGCGGATTGCAGCATTTCGCACCCGATTATTCTGGACGAGCATTGACTCTTTCAAAGACCTGAGGGAGGCAGAAGACTTCGTCTCCAGGGAATCCGCGCCCCCAAGCGCCTTGGGGACCTGACACTTTGAGGTACAGCCAGGTTCTTCCAGAGCCGCACCTCAGCGTGTACTGATGATAAAAGGCAAGGCCGCTGAATCTCCTTCTGATTCCGATGGGCCGACCTCCTCCTTGGTCGCTGCGGATGTCGCAAACATAGCTTCCGCCGTCAAGGCCAGCATGGAACGTGTGCTGGTAGGCAAGGGCAACGTGATTGAGCTTGTACTGGCCGCTGTGCTCAGTGGGGGCCACGTGCTTGTGGAGGATGTTCCCGGAATTGGGAAGACCACCTTGGCGCGAAGTTTGGCGGAATCGCTCCGTTGCAGTTTCCGGCGTATCCAGTGCACCCCGGACCTGATGCCTTCCGATATCACCGGAGTGCACTTCTACAATCAGAAGTTGGGAGAGTTTGAATTCCGACCCGGGCCCATCCTAGCGCAGGTAGTGCTGGCCGATGAGATCAACCGGGCCACGCCGCGTACGCAGTCGGCCCTCTTGGAGGCAATGGCTGAGGGCCAATTGACGATTGATGACCGGACCTTTCCACTGCCCTCGCCATTCCTCCTGATCGCGACGCAGAACCCCATTGAGCTGGAGGGGACATTCCCGTTGCCGGAGGCCCAACTCGACCGGTTTCTGCTGAGGGTCCAAATGGGCTATCCCGACGAAGATGAAGAGGAGCAGATGCTGGTCCGTTTCAGCACCGGCAGCCCCATCGACTCGATGGTACCGGTGATAGACGGGAATGATGTGGTCGAAACCCAGAAAAAAGTACGTCAAGTCTACGTAGACCCTGTAATAAGCAACTACATCGTTCGGCTGGCGCAGGCGACCCGGACTCACGAGGAAGTAGAATTGGGGCCAGTCCGAGGGCCTCCCTGGGGCTGTACCGTTGCTCCCAGGCATTTGCCGCCATTCGTGGCAGGGAATTCGTCACTCCTGATGATGTGAAAGTCCTCGCGCCGTACGCTCTGGCACATCGAGTCATCGTGAAATCCCAGGCCAGGCTGAGAGGCCGTACCGCAGAGGATGTGGTGCTGGAACTGCTGTCCAGAGTGGAGGTCCCGGTCTAGACCGAGACTTGAACCATGCGACATGAACTGTGGCCCGTAGTCAGTGGACTGCTGGTGTTTGTGGGGTTGCTGTCCAGCAACGGCTTGCTTCTGGTCGTTGGGTCGCTGGTGGCGATCGTATGGCTGGGGGCGAGAGTATGGGAGAGATATTGTTTCCGAAAGGTTAGCTACGAGCGCGAAGTGGAACGCCTTCGCGCTTTTATCGGAGACACCGTTGAATATACGGTTTCGCTGGCCAACGACAAGCCTCTCCCGCTGATATGGGTCGAAACCCAGGATCCCTTCCCCGAGGGGCTGGAACTGGCCGGAGCGGTCGTGCGTGGGAAAAACCGGGAGACAAACCGCCACCACAGCATAACCACATCACTTCTGCCCTACCAGAAGGCGTCCTGGAAATTCAAGATGAAGTGCGTTCGCCGCGGCTATCATCGCATTGGTCCGGTTCGCATGCGAAGCAGCGACATCTTCGGCTTCGTGTCCACCGAGATACGGTTGCCTGGCGTTGATGACGTGCTGGTCTACCCTCGGGTTATAGACTTGGAGCAGCTTTTCACGCCTCCGCAGCATCCCTTCGGCGCGTCCCGGGGAAGGATGCCGTTATACCAGGACACGAGCCGGGCCATGGGAGTGCGGGAGTATCGCCCCGAAGACCCGCTGAAGCACATTGACTGGAAGTCCTCGGCACGAGCCCGGCAGTTGCAGACCCGCATATTCGAACCTGCGGTATCGATGAATGTGGTGGTTGCCATGAACGGTTCAACCAGCGACCAGGTCTGGCTGGGCACAAACCGGAGGCAGTTCGAGCGTGCCATCACGGCGACAGCATCGGCGATTGTTCTCGCTGACCGGCTCGGCTACAGCTACGGCCTGATTTCGAACGCCGTGGCATCCTATTCGGGCAAATGGCTGAGCGTCCCTGTGGGGGCATCGTCCTTCCAGCTATCGATGACTCTGGAGGCCTTGGCGATGGCTGCTCCCTATGTCATTTCCACCTTGCCCGAAGTCTTCCGGGCCGAACGGGACTCTTTCCCCGCCGGAACGACCGTGTGGTTTGTAACGCCGGTTTTCAGCGAGTCGTTGCCGGGGCAGTTGGCCGTTATTGCTGACCGCGGCTACCGGGTGTATGTACTTTATGCTGGGTTTGGGGAGCCGCCGGAGAAGATCGGCGAGTTCCCTGTGATTGGGATGGGGCATCTTCTGGACTTGCTGCCTGAAGACGAAACCGGTTGGGAGGGCGAAGTGATTTTCGCCAGCGAGGAAATGGATGAGGCCGGCGTGGCGCCGTAGGGCAATAACTGGGGTAACGCTCTTCTTGGAGAGCTGCACCCTTTACCTGATTGTGGCGACGGTTACCCAGTTGACTAAGCTGGGGGATCTTGCCATGCCCTTCTGGCTGGTGATGGTCTCGCTGTTCTGGGGCTATTTCCTGTCTCTGTGGATACTGAATCTGCGGATTACGCCGGTTGTGAGGGGGCTGTCCGGGCTGGCGCTGGGAGTTCCCTCGCTGCTGGTGCTGGTGGCCTGGAACGCAGGCGAGGCGTTCTGGCCCTTCGGTCTGCTGGTTCCAGTCGAGGCGGCTGGCATAGGGCTGTTTGTCGGATCCGTTATCTTCCTGCTGATCATCTGGTGGCGCGGTGTGGAGGCGTCGCGGGAGGAGGCGACTCTCGATACGGTGCGTTCGGCATTTCAGGTAGGCATGGTCACTCTGTTGGTGGTGGCGCTGATCGACGCTGTCAGCGATGGCAGAATCGTCAGCGGCTTCCTCGTGCTTGGGTTCTTCGCTGTCGGGTTGCCCGGGATGGCCCTGGCGCGGTTCTCGGCCGACGGTGGCGAACAACGGGAAATGCCCTCGCAGTGGGTCTGGCCGATCGTGGCATGCGTGGGCGGGATTCTGGCGCTTGGGCTGCTCATAAGCGGCCTGGGACTGGGCGGTCTCGACGATGTCAGCAGGGTCGTGGTCAGCTTTGTAGGCAGGGTGGCCTTTGAGATCCTTGAGCCAGTCTTGCTGCTCATCGGCCTCCTGGCGGGCGCCCTCGTCAGTGTCGGCAACTGGATTTCCGGGATGTTTGGGGGCGGAGATATTGATGGACTCATTGAGGCCCAGCGACGCATGGACCAGTTCCATCAGAGCCTCCGGGAAGCAGAGGGAGAATCCGGGAACAATGTGCTCCTTGCGATACTGCAGTGGGCTGCCGCAGTGCTGGGCACCGCCGCAGCGGTGGGTGCGGTCTACTGGATGTTCAGAAACCGCCGCCGCGGAGGCAGCCAGAGCGAGGTTGTAGAAACGCGGGAGTCGCTGTTCAGCCTGAAACGCGTCGGCAATGATGTTTCGGAGACCATCGGAGGGCTGTTTCCCGGATGGCTGGGCTCCCGCAGGCGTGCCCGCATCTACAACTCTCCTCGGGACTACTACCATGCACTCCTGGAGCAGGCAGGGCGCGCGGGCCGTCCGAAAGACGACTGGGAGACTCCCAGGGAACACCAGAGAGGCCTGGCAGGGGTGCTGCCGGCCAATCCGGTTGCCCACATTGTCGACGAGTTTCAATCCGCGCATTACGGCGCGGCGATCCTCAACCCGGAACTGCTGGAAAGGCTGGAGGAAGATCGCCTGGCGCTGGAGGAATTCCTCAGGCAGCGAGCCAGGGAGGACCAGCCCAAGGAGAACAGCTAACGGAAGGCGGGCAGCACCTCATCCGCGATGATCGACATCAACCGCCGGAGGGCCGGTATGTCGCCGGAGTTGAGGGCCAGCACCGTGTGCTCCACGCCTGCTTCGCGGTACGCTTCGATTCCCGCCCGCATGGCTGCCGAATCATCGCCCGGAAGCCGTGATCGAGAAGCGGCCCTATTGCTGGAAGGGCCACCGTGGACTTCCACCTCAACTCGGGCCGACATGGTGATGCTCGCAGGATCCCGTCCGGCGGCCTCCGCGAGCGATGCAACCTCCTGCCGCGAGATGGCGTAGTCCTCAGGGGACAGCCCGGTGGGGTGCCACCCGTCGCCGACGCGGGCGGTCCGGCGCAACGCGCTGGAAGAGGAACCGCCGATCCAGAGCGGGATGTGGGGCTGCTGCACGGGCTTAGGAGAGAAACGCAGGTCGGCAAACTCCCAGCGGCGGCTGTGGTATTCAGGGCTGTGGTTGGTCCACAGCTCCTTCATTATGGCTATGGACTCGTTGGTCAGCGATCCCCGATCCCGCATGGGAATGCCCAGGGCTTCAAACTCCTCGGTCATCGCACCGGCGCCCACGCCGAGGGTAACCCGCCCACCGGACATCTGGTCCAGCGTGGCGGCGTACTTGGCCAGTTCCACAGGATTGTGGTAGGGGAGCACGAGCACCGAGGTGCCCAGTGCCACACGGCTGGTGGTGGCGGACATGTAGGAAAGCATGGCCATGGGGTGGTAGTAGGGCCGGTCCTCAAGCCTTTCCCTGATGTAGCCAGCGTTGAACAGGTGGTCCATCACCCAGATGGAGTCGAACCCCATCTGCTCGGCCTCGGGCCCAAGGCTCAGCACCTCGTTGGGATCCGAGACGCCCCAGTTGTTGGGAATAGTAACGCCGAATTGGGTCATGATTTCCCCAGCCAGCAAATGAATTGGGAGGTCCCCAGGAAGAGTTGGCTGTCAATGGTAGCCAAAGTGATGAAATTCCGGTGGTGCGAGAGGTTACCGGCTAGGCGGTGTTGATGGCGGCGAGGACCGACGCCGTTTCCACGGCGGCCAAGGCGGCGTTGGTGCCGATGTTGCCAGACTTGCCGCCGGCGCGGTTGAGGGCCTGTTCAAGGTTCTCGGTGGTCAATACGCCGAATATGGTAGGGACACCGGTGTCCATACTGACCGCTCCGGCGCCTCCCTGGGCCTGTCCCGCAACCATATCGTAGTGGGAGGTCTCGCCGCGAATCACCGCGCCCAGGCAGATGACCGCGTCGCAGCGTCCGCTCTTGGCGAAGGCGTGCGCGACCACGGGCAATTCGAAGGAACCTGGCACCCAGGCCACCGTGATGTCGGAGTCGCGCACGCCGCACCTGGCAAGCGTCTCCAACGCACCGTCCAACAGCAGTTTGGTTATTACTTCATTGAAACGGGCGCAGGCTATGCCGACCCTCAGGCCCTGCCCGTTTATATCGCCCCTCAGTTCATTGGGCACAGTCCACTCTCCTAGTTTGGTATGGTTGGCTTACGGCCTCTTCAGTGGATTTCGCCGTTGATCCCCCAGCCCTGGAAGGCCGTTGCTCTCTATGGATTGCCAGAGTCGACTCCGACGAGGAGCACTTTCTCCAGCAGTTCGCTTTCGCTGACCATCCCAGCCACCGAGGTGATCTCGTTGATAATGGTCAAAGGCACCTGCCTCAGCCCGTAGCGCCTGGCAAGGTCCGGAAATTCCTCAGCTTCGATCACGTCAGTGCGGATGTTGGCGTTTTCGACGGACATCGAGAGGGCCAGCAGCGCCATGCCCGCCGAGGTCTCGCTGTTGGGGATAACGAAGACCTGCAGGTGGACGGGCCGACTAATTCTCCGCAGCTGTTTTCGCGTGTTGACGGATAACTTCGTGTTCCCGCGAGACAGTGCCTTGATGCCTTCGATCAGCACTGGCAACACATAGCCAAGCGGCAAGCCGTAATATCGCAGGGACTTCCCGGTTTCTGGGCCCACAAGGATGGCGGGGATGCGGGATATACCCTCTTCCCTGGCTTTGTCCTGCTCAAGGAAGAAATCCACACTTTCCAGGCTCAGCTTGGGCGAGAGAGAGGTCAACTCCTCCATCACCTGCTGAGTCTGAGGGCAGTAGCGGCAATCCCTACCCGGAATGGCGATGGGAGACGGACGCACCGTGTAGAGCCTCAGGTTCAAGTCGGCCTTGAGGTGTTTTCGAAATTCCCGCTTGAGACGGGGCTTTTCCTGGGCCGGGATCAGGTCCTGCTGGGCCGTTGCCATGCGACGGTTTCCTCTACGGGAGTGGATTAGGCCAGTTTACACGGGCCACGAAGGGTTATCTACCCTGAGAGGAGGGCCGGGCGTGGGTGCTGTTTGGAACAAGCCCAGGGATTTGCCAGTTCAGTTGGGGAAAATGTCAGAATCCGATCATTTCCTACCATTTGGCCCTCACCAGCTTCGTCCAAGGTGGGCATTCGAACTCGTTCCCGTCTCTTTGATTCTGCAAGAATCCGTTCCGCGGAGATGACGTTAGGAGAGGACGCCGATTCTGGCAAATGTATGGTCAGGGGTATGGATTTTCCTGCCATTTCCTGCCATTTCCTGTCATTGCCTGCACTTTCGGCGTTTTGACGTCGACGACAGTCGGGGTAGCACGCGCTGGAGTCTGGGATTCACCGGGGTCAGAGGGAATGGCTGCGCGCCGCTACAGGGAGTCTGCCACTCCTGGGCCAGGAATTTGTGCTATTCCGATCATTTCCGCTCATTTTCTGTGTAGGGTCCCGGTATTTCGTACCGGGGGTTTCGATCTCTTCTACCGCGGAGAGCGCGGAGCGGGCTAGATTCGAGGCAGGTTCTCGTCCCAAGGACGCCCTGGTTACCCACAAAAGTGAGAGCAACATATGTTCTATTTGCGCTGAATCAATTGTACGAGGGATGGCGGGGATAGACAAGGGGCGGATGTCAGCTGGGTTACGTTCCGTTTCAAGGGGTCTGGTAGTGGAACATCACGTTGGCGTGCGGAATGGGAGGTTCAAACCCCGCGCCTACAGGGGACGACCCAGCTGGCTCGGAACGCAATCGAGGCAGGGGTTCAGGAGCCCTGTTGCTAGTCATCAACCGCGTGGAGCGCAGTGGAGGTCTAGCTGCCCTTGTTCAGCATGCTGCGGATGGTGAACATTCGCTGGAAGAGGGTAAAGCACGATACTGCGGCTATGGCGACCAGGATGCCCATCAGCACCCACGGAATCCAGCCCAGGAGCAATCCTATGCCCAGCAAGGCGACCCGTTCCGTGCGTGTCATCAGGCCTGCACGGGTGAAAACGCCCAGACCTTCGCCACGGGCCCGCAGGTAGCTCACTCCCTGGGAGAATATTAGCGCGAGAAGCAGGGCTACAAGGAAATATGCGCGGTATTCCTCCGACTCATCGGCGCGAAGGGCGTAGACTCCCAGACCAACGAAAAGGGCCGCCTCTCCAAGGCGGTCGAACACCGAGTCCAAGAGGGCGCCGAAGGGGGAGTCCTGGCCAGTCATGCGGGCGAGGGCACCGTCGAACAGGTCCAGGATCCCACCGGCGAGAAAGATCACTCCGCCCCACACCAGCCAGCCGGATGCGACGAGGACTCCGGAAACCACGCAGACAGCGAAGCCCAGAAGAGTTATGGCATTGGGGGTAAAGCCAACTGATTTGAACAGCCTCGCGCCGGGTTCCTCGAAGTAGCTGCGGACTGCTCCCCTAAGCTGTTCTCTGCCCAGCAGCGCCATGGACTACCTCCAGGCAGGACTTGTAGTATTGCTCGACCTTTCCGGCGACCACCTGCCACCTGTGCTTTTCCGCCGTGGCGCGGCCCCGCTGGCCCATCCGGTTGCGAAGCTCCGGATTTCGTATCAGGGTCTCCAGAGCGTCTGCCAGCGAATCCACATTCTTGTTGCCAAAAAGCAGGCCCTCGTCCCCGTGAGTGAGCACGCCCCGGTAGCCTTCAATGTCGGAGGCCACGACGGGCTTCCCTGCGGCCATGGCTTCCAGCAGCACAATACCGAAGCTTTCTGCGCCAGTGGCGGGTGAGCAGAAGATGTCGGCCGAGGCGTAATAGCGGGGGAGGTCTTCGTAGGGCACCCGGCCACGAACTCCACCTCGTGCAGGTTCTGGGAGCTCAGCACGTGGTAGGAATCCTTGTCGGGATTGCCCGGACCGACCACCAGCAGGCGCAAGTCCGGGATGTCCCACCTGAGCCGTCCAAAGGCCTCCAACAGGTAGCGGAGGCCCTTCCGTTTTTCCAGTCTTCCAACAAAGATGATGTTGGTCTTCCCGTCCTGATACTGTGGCCAGGGTTCCGCCTGTTGCGAAAAATGGTCGACGTCTATCCCATTTGGGATGATTTCGTAGTTACCCGGGAAGGTAGAGTTTACATAATTGCGGGCTGCCGGTGAGACCGCTATGTTTCCGTGCAGCCGCTGGTGCCAGCGCTTGATGACGGGATGGCTCATTCTGTAGAGATGCTGGCGGTTGTGGTACGCGTGAAAGGTGCCGACGTTAACCGTGTTTGAGTATTCGAGGACGGTCAAAGGGCAGGATGGGAGCCATGGGCTCGTGAAGGTGAATGATGTCGTACTTTTCCCTTTCCAGCAGAGCCCTCACCTTGCGGGCCAGCCACCACGACAGCGACACGCGGGCGATCGAGCCTCCGCTGGGAAGGGGCACAGAGCGGCCAAGGGGCACAAGAAGGTCACCATCCTGGCACTCGCGGGACGGCGAATGGGGGGCAAGCACTTGTACTTCGTGGCCGGACCGTCCCAGTTCCCTAGCGAGCTGGGAGACGTGCATGGTTACGCCACCTGGCCAGGTGAAATCGTACGGCGACACCATGGCAATCTTCAATGGCGCCTCCCTGCGAGGTGTCCTGGGCTCCCTGTTCTAATTATCTTCTCCAGCCTCTTCCACCCTCACAGCCACCGTGGGCTTCACACCATCGCCGGTTATAAAGGCGTCGGTCATATCTCGCGCGGTGTCGTCAGTGTACTGGATTGGCGGAGATTTCATGAAGTAGGCGCTGGGACCGACGACCGCTCCACCTTCGCCGCGGTCCATTGCCAGCTTGGCGCAGCGAATGGCGTCGACTACGACACCGGCGGAATTGGGGCTGTCCCAGACCTCGAGCTTGGCCTCTAGGCTGATGGGGGCGCCCCCGAAAATACGACCCTCCATCCGGATGTAGCACCACTTGCGGTCCTTCAGCCAAGGCACGTGGTCGCTGGGGCCGACGTGGATGCTGTCTGGGTCGATTTCATTGTCCAGCTGGGAGGTAACGGAGGTGGTCTTTGAGATCTTCTTGGAGGTGAGGCGCTCCCTCTCCAGCATGTTGAGGAAGTCGGTGTTGCCTCCGAAATTCAGCTGGTAGGTGTTGTCCAGAGTGACGCCGCGGTCTTCGAACAAGCGGGTGAGCACCCGGTGGGTGATGGTGGCCCCTAGCTGTGACTTGATGTCGTCGCCGATTATGGGGACGCCCCGTTCTTCGAACCGGTTGCGCCAGTAGTCTTCGCGGGCCAGGAATACCGGGATGCAGTTGACCATGGCGCAGCGGGCGTTGAGGATATGCTCGACGTACCACTTCGTGGCCTGCTCGCTGCCCACGGGAAGGTAGTTGATAACAACGTCAACTTCGCGGTCGCGCAGGATGCCGGTGATGTCGGACGTAGAGTGGGGAGATTTCTTGACGAGGTGAGACACGTAACGGCCGATGCCGTCGTGCGTCATGCCACGGTCAACCTTCACGCCGGTGGCAGGGACATCAGCGAACTTGAGGGTGTTGTTGGGCTCGGTGAATATCGCCTCGGACAGGTCCTTGCCGACCTTGTTTTCGTCGATATCGAAAGCGGCTACTACTTCAATGTCCTCGATTCGATATTCACCGATTGTGTTGTGCATAAGGCCAGAGACCTCGGCGTTCGCCGGAATCTCGACGTACTTGTGAAGGCCCTGTACCAGTGAGGAGGCGCAGTTCCCCACGCCGATGATGGCTACGTTGATTTTGCCCACTTAGTGGCTCCTTTGCGACGGCGGTTGCGACGGACAAGAGTGCTTACCCGTCCAGCCTTGCGGTCGGCCGGTTGGCGTCCCGCAGGTTCGTCGGCGCCCGTCGTGTGAATAACCGCGCCGACGTAAGCTGCAAGATTGTATCAAGCAGCGGCCCATGCACTCAAGTTGCTGTATGGTGCCGCTGTCTGGATCTCGAAACGATCTTCCGATGCCCGGCCATTGCTTGGCCTGCTGAGCAGGGCACGATGCTATTCGAAGAAACGGATGATGGCGGTGCGGTCGTCGTATCGGAATCGCACACCCAGCTTTTCCGGCACCCGGCCCTCGACAAGCCGGCCGGCGATGATTTCCTCGATGCGCCCGGCGGCTTCCTCGGGCGTGGCCGAACTGCGCACGATTTCCGCGAGTTCGTCGACGTCCATGTTGTCGGTTACGCCATCGGTGGCCATGACGAGTTTGACGCCGGGTTCAATGTCAACGTCCTTCTGCACCATCTGTCCCAACTCGGCAGCCGCGCCGACAGCACGGGCCACACCCACGTGCAGGAACCCTCCGAGGCGCCCACAGAGCCGTTCGTGTGAGTCGGGGGTCACGAGGATGATGGGGCTGTCGCCGGCGGCGGTCACGTAGAGGCGACCGTCGCGACAAAGGACAGCCGAGACTGTGGTCAACAGAAAACGTCCCCCACCGACGCCGAAAAACTCATCATTGACTTCGTTGATGGTGGCTGTGATGTCGTCGATGGAATCGGCCTTGCTATCGGCCAGAGCTTCTCCGAGCTCCTTGCTGGCTTCCGCGCCGCCGTGGCCCGTGACTCCGTCCATCACCACGTCCAAGAATTCTCCGTTGCCCAGGTCGCGGGTCAGCAGATTGTCTTCGCCGTGAGCGGAATTGTCTTGCAGCGTTGAAATTGTGCTGGCAACCATGGCAATGACCTCAGCTTAACTCCTTAGTAATTTGCCGCTGTATGGCAGCGTGACTGCCCGATCGTGTTCAAGGGGTGTCTGGTCAGTCGGCATACACCGCCAGTTCCGTGTCCGCGTCGAATTTGAAGCGGGTCCAGTAGTCTCCCCGCAGCCAGTCCAGGGCTTCCCGCCAAGCGGCCCTGGCTGATTCGAACTCGTCCAAGCCGCGGTTTCGTCCAGAGATGGCCCCAAGGAAAGCTGCTAAGTCGGTTCTGAATGGCTTGTAGTCCGAGTAGGACCGGGACTCTATTTTGCTTAGGATAACTTCCGCCGACGCTGAGACCTCATCTCCGGAGCCCAGCAGACTCCGGCGAATCTCCATCAGCTCCTGCTGGATGTTTACGATTGGCCTCACACCCCGGGCGTCCCGGTAGCCCGCTGCGTCCTGCGGCGGCTCATCGGGCGTGCTGTAGAACTTGAGCAGCTCAAGACAGGCGTCGTTGACGTCCAGCGGCGGCCTGCCCCTGGGCGCCGGGTCGTTGATTCCCGCCAGCGCACCGGAGTCGATTACCTGGATTCGTGCCGCACCCGGCTGGTAAAAGACGTTCTGCGGCCTTAGGTCCATCAGAATGAACCCTGCTTCCAGGTAGGACTGCTCAAGGTCGAGCAATTGATTGTGTACAGGAAATGGAGGGGCGCCGTTCGCCTGTATCAAGGGGAACATGGCGAAGAGGTTTTGTCCAGCGCCTATAGGGACTCCCGTGAACCGGGACATCATGTCTCCCAAGAGCGGGATTCCCGGGGCGAGCTCCTGTACAAACACGGTATAAGGCTCGCCGAGGTCTTCGCCGAAGAAATCGTCGTGGACAGCGGTGTCGGCGTACCCAAGAACGGGGGCCAGCAGGCCACCCGCGTCGCCTGCCCGGTCGTAGGCGGCCAAGAGGCGTTCAGTGCGGGCTTCGATCGCACCGTGCTGTTTGCGGCTAACAGCCTGAGGGACAGGACGCTTCAACGCAACTTCAGTCCCGGTTTCGCGGTCGATTGCGGCACGCACGTCGTAATCTGCCCCGGACCCGAGACGACGAGTGATCTCGTAGCGTTGAAGATCTACTTTTTCCACGAAGCGCGGCCCCCCGACCGCCAGCAGGCCCAATCCCCGTGAGTTTTCATAAGGGCAGGGAAGGAATTGTCCTGCAAAGCACTAAAAATGTTACGACGCGGCTTATACAATTTCAACTGGAGCAGTTTCAGTGTCGTGGTTTTAGCGTCCCCAATTCAGCCAGCCGGGGCGCGGTATCCCAACGTCACCCACTCCTCCCGGGGCCACTCCAGCTCCGGAGTGAATCCCAACTCGAGTACGGCGTCGTCGACCTCCGGTCGCTGGGTAGCCAGCAGTCCGGATGCGACAAGCATTCCTCCGGGGCGAAGGGATTGGAGGATGAACGGCGACCGGTCAGCCACACCGCGCGCGGAGATGTTGGCGACGGCCAAATCGATCGTATTTTCAGCAGCCGCGGGATGCGGGACGGAACCCTTGGCGAGGGTGACCCGGTCCTGGAGACGCAACCGGCGAAAGTTCTGCCTTGATGCCGTCACGGCCTGACCGTCTATGTCCAGTGCAACCACCGACTGCGCCCCCAGCATCAGCGCCGTGATGGTCAGAATTCCGGAGCCTGAGCCCAGGTCCAGAATTTTCATTCCGGGGCGAACCTGTTCTTCCAGGGCCTCCATGCAGGTGTAGGTGGTGGGATGATAGCCGGTGCCGAAGGCGATTCCAGGGTCAAGTTCAATGACAATGCGCCCCTCAGCCTCGCCTGGCTCCAGATCCAACCATGAAGGTTTGATAATGAGTCGATGTCCCACCGTCAACGCGCCGTAATGTTCCTTCCAGCTGTTCTGCCAGTCCTCGTTGTCGTCCAGGTCTCGAATGGCCAACTCATCCATCTCGCCCACAGAACGCACGAGGCGGACACCGACATCAATGCGGGCCAAGCGTTCATTCGAACCTGTCTGAAGATAGGTCCTGAGCATAACCTTGCCGCCACCCTGGGGCTCGGTACTTAGCCCCTTGCCATACCTGCTGAACAGATATGAGATGGGCTCGACGAATTCGTGTGGAACCGAGATGCTGAGTTCCTGCCAGGGCATAGACACTCCGGGATGCGGACGCTTCAGGTCCGCTCTCTTGGCGGTCAAGGGAATTTCAGATGGACATGTTCGGATTGGACTAAAAGGCTTCCTTAATTCGGTCGAAGAGGCCTTTATCCGCAGAGTCGTCGCTGTTCTGGTCGTTCTGGACGGGTTCTTCCGTTTCTTTTTTGCGGGAACGCTTTCGACCCTTTCCGTTGCGTGGCCTCGTTGGCTCGTCGCCGTTGAATGAACGTGCCAGTTCTTCCATCAATTCCCGCTGATGTCCGCTGAGAGAGCTTGGTATCCGGACGTCTACGTGCACACGCATATCGCCGCGGCGGTTCGAGTGCAGGTGAGGTACGCCCTTGTTCCGAATGCGGAACTCGGCCCCTGGCTGAGTCCCCTGCGGCAGTTTCAGCTCCTCATCGAATCCGTCGACGGTGGGGATGGTCTTCTCGACCCCGAGGGCTGCCTCGGCGATGTTTAGAGGCAGGTTGAAGACGATGTCCGTACCGTCGCGCTGGAACAAGTTGTGCTCCTGCACGTTGACGGAAACGTAGAGATTGCCCGAACCTCCGCCATCGCTTCCGACATCGCCTTCCCCGTTGAGCCTGACCTGCATTCCGCTGTCAACTCCGCCGGGAATCTTGACCTCAATCCGCCGCTTCCGCCGCTCGCGTCCTCCCCCGCGGCAGATGCTGCAGGGAGAGTTGACGATACTTCCGCGTCCCCTGCAGGCGTGGCAGGGCGCCACCTGGGTGAATTGGCCGAAAACGCTGCGCTGGGAACGGCGTACCTGGCCACTGCCACGGCAGTCCGCACAGGCGTCGACCGAGGTGCCAGGCTCGTTTCCGGCCCCGGAGCAATGATTACAAGGCTCCAGGCGGCTTATATCGACTTCCCGATGGGCTCCGAACACCGACTCTTCGAAACTGAGGGTTACCTGCTGCTGAAGGTCACCGCCTCTCCGGGGTTGGCGTCCCATGTTCGCGGAGGCGCCGCCGAAGAAGGAATCAAAAATATCGCCGAACCCGCCGAATCCCTCGAATCCATCAAAGGGACTGCCAGCGCCCTGAGCGCCGCCGTTTACTCCGGCCTTGCCGAAGCGGTCGTACTGACCCCGCTTCTTTGTATCGGAGAGAACCTGGTAAGCCTCGTTGATTTCCTTGAATCGTTCCTCGGCGTCGGGGTTCTTATTCCGGTCTGGATGGAATTCCATAGCCTTCCTGCGGAAGGCTCCTCTGATTTCCTCGTTGCTGGCGTTACGGGCAACGCCGAGCACGGTGTAAAAGTCCTGGTCGGCCATTATCAATCACTCTGAGTTGGTGGCTGGATTGGCGGGCACACCTGTATCTATTGTAGAGGAGGCCGCGCTGGCCCTCAAGCGGGGTGCTATGCGCGTTTAACAGGACTCTCTTCGGGCGCGAAGCAGAGTGGCCCGTTCTTGACACTTCAGGGGTCGCTCGCTAGGATTCAAGCTAGGAGCAAAGTCTAACATCCCTTACGGGGGTTGCTCCGATTTGGGCGTAACAGGCGGAAAGGGAAAGGTGATATGACCACAGTTATCATCGCTGTTCTCGCCGTCCTTGCGGCCCTTGGGCTAGGTATAGCAACTTGGCTGGGACTTCGGCAGAGGGTTCAGTCATCGCGGCTGGCGATGGCCAACGAGACGGCCGGAGACCTTACCGCTCAGGCTCAGGAAGAAAGCCGAAAAATCGTGCTGGCAGCTCAGGAGGAGGTTCTGAAGCTGCGCAATGAGACTGAGTCGGAAATCAAGGAGCAACGCCGGGAGCTCACCCGCTTGGAAGACAGGCACATGCAGCGGGAAGAGCAACTGGAACGCAAGATAGAGGCGCAGGACAACCGGCAAGCTGAACTTGCCGACAGAGAAACGCAAATCGACGAGATTCGCAAAGAGGTCGAGGAGTTAAGGGCAGAGCAGGCCAAAATGCTGGAACGGATTGCCGGACTCACTGTTGAGGAAGCAAGGGAGACCGTGGTGAGGCGCGGCGAAGAGGACGCTCAGCACGATCTGGCGCGACGGTACTACGACCTTGAGCGGGACAACAAGGAGCGGGCAGACGAGAACGCCCGCAAGATCATAGCCGTTGCCATAAACAGACTGGCTTCGGACGTGGTTTCGGAAAGCACGACTTCAGTGGTATCCCTGCCCAATGATGAGATGAAGGGCCGTCTCATCGGTCGCGAGGGACGCAACATCAGGACGCTGGAATCGTTAACCGGCGTGGACGTCATCATCGACGACACACCGGAGGCAGTGACGGTTTCCTGCTTCGACCCGGTGCGGAGAGAAGTCGCACGCCTGGCCCTGGAGAAACTGGTCTCAGACGGGCGCATCCAACCCGCCCGCATTGAGGACATGGTTAACCGCGCCCAGGGCGAGATTGACCAGACGATAATGAAGGCTGGCGAACAGGCCACCTTCGATGTTGGAGTCAGCGGATTGGACCGGGAGCTGGTCCGGTTACTGGGACAGCTGAAGTACCGGTATAGTTACGGAGAAAACGTGCTCCAGCACTCGATCGAGGTGGGCCTGCTGGCCGGGATGCTGGCCGCCGAGTCAGGAGCCAATGTGCAGGTGGCCAAGGTTGGCGGCCTGCTCCACGATATCGGCAAGGCGCTAACCCACGAGGTATCCGGCCCACATGCTGAAATCGGCGCCGAAATTGCCAAACGGCACGGCATCAACCACAGCTCCTATCGAGGAATCCTGGAACACCACTGGGATGAACACGAGACCGTGGAATCATTCTTGGTGGCTGCCGCGGACGCCATCAGCGCCGCTCGTCCGGGCGCGCGCAAGGAGTCTCTGGAGCAGTACGTCAAGCGCCTCCGCGAACTGGAGGCGGTGGCAGCGGGCTTCGAGGGAGTAGAGCGGACGTTCGCGATCCAGGCCGGCCGGGAAGTGCGGGTAATGGTCAAGCCCGAGGACATGGATGACGTAAAGGCCGCGTCGCTCGCCCGCAACATCGCGAGGAAAGTGGAGGAAGACCTGGTATTTCCAGGCCAGATCAAGGTAACTGTTATCCGCGAAACCCGGAGCGTGGAGTATGCCCGCTAGACTCGCCAAGAGAAGATTCGAAGCTTAAAGAACCGGTGGAGGTCAATTGACCCAATCCTCGTCAGCCGCTCCGCCCGGCAGCACGAGGCCGGAACAAGTAATAGACGAGGACTCAGGAGCGGGAATAACCCGGCTGCTGAGTCCTTTTTTCGCCGCACCCTGTGGAAGACTAAGCTAGAGAGGAATAACGTTCTTTGCGCATATTGATGATAGGCGACGTAATAGGCAGACCCGGGCGGGAGGCCGTTCGCCGGATCCTGCCTTCTCTGCGGCAAGAAAAGGACATAGATCTGGTCATTGCCAACGGAGAAAATGCGGCCGCCGGCTACGGCCTCACGGTCGACACCGCTTCCGAATTGTTGGATTCCGGAGTCGACGTACTGACATCCGGCAACCACATTTGGGACAAGAGGGAATTTATTCCGTACATGGACGATGTGCAGGGAGAGGGATTGCCGGTGGTGCGGCCGGCCAACTATCCCCTGCGCCCCGGGAGTCGGGGTCATTCGTCGCAAAGGTGCTGCGGTGGTGAATCTGATGGGCCGGGTCTTCATGGCCAACTTGGACTGTCCCTTCCGCACCGCCGACCGGTTGCTTGAAGAGATACGGGACGAGGAAGACACGCCCGTTATCATTGTGGATTTTCACGCTGAGGCGACTTCGGAGAAACAGGCGTTGGGCTGGTATCTGGACGGTCGCGTCAGTGGGGTGTTCGGCACCCACACCCACGTCGGCACGGTGGACGCCCGCATCCTGCCGCACGGCACCGCATACCTGACGGACGTGGGTATGACCGGTCCCGTGGACTCGGTAATCGGCAGCGATACCCGGGCGGTGCTGGACCGGTTCCTGACCTCGATGCCACAACGGCTGGAAGTGGCGAAGGGACCTTGCACCTTCAACTCGGTACTGGTGGAAGTTGACGATCAGACCGGACGCTCCATAGGCCTTGAGCGTGTCGACAGGATGGCCGACTGATATGAGTGCCGAAGTGGATCTGCACCTGCACACGATCGCCTCGGATGGGCGACTCACCCCTACCGACCTGGTGCAGCTGTCTGCACAGCAGGGACTTAAAACGATAGCCGTATCGGATCACGACACCACGGACGGGCTTACGGAGGCGTACGAGGCAGCGAGGGAATTTCCGGGCATGCGAATAATCCCCGGCATTGAACTCAGCGCCGATGTGCCGGGCGATGAGGTTCACGTGCTGGGGTATTTTATCGACCCCGATAACCAGGAGCTTCAGTCCGAATTGACAAGATTCCGTGAGGGGCGGGTGGGCCGCGCGAAGGCCATGGTGGAAAAACTTGGCGAGCTCGGAATCCAGGTAGAGTGGGAACGCGTACAACACTTTGCCGGGGATGGCGCCGTCGGCCGGCCGCACATCGCCCTGGCCCTGGTTGAGGCAGGCTATTGCAAGGAACCAAAGGATGCCTTTCCTGAGTACCTGGGCAGGAATGGACTTGCCTACGTGGAACGAGTGAAACTTTCCCCGGCCGAGGCTGTCGACATGATCCGGCGTGCCGGGGGTGCGGCGGTCCTAGCTCATCCTGCCTATATGAACGATATGGAAGCTGGTATTGCAAACCTCGCCGGCATTGGGCTATCCGGAATGGAAGTGCACTACGCCAAGTACCGCGATGACACGATCCGGCAACTCGCGCGACTGGCCCGCGAATACGATCTCATCCCATGCGGGGGCAGTGATTATCACGGATTGGGAAACGCCGATGAATGCCTCCCCGGTGAGAATGGCCCACCGCTGGAGTCTGTTGATCGCCTTGAGGCGGCTGCCCGGACTGCGAGAGAATCCGGGATCGCTTGAACCAGGACATGATTAAGCGCGCAGGGTTACGCCTGAGTAGTCCATGGAAATAGCAGCTCTCTACGTAGCCGCTTTCCTGCTGGGGTCCGTTCCTACAGCTTACATAATTGGCAGACTGGCCAAGGGAATCGACATCCGCCGGTATGGAAGCGGAAACGTTGGTGGCGGAAACGTCATCCAGCATGTGGGCAAGAAGTGGTTTGTTCCCCAGATGCTATCAGATGCGCTGGTCAAGGGTGCCGGATCAATCTGGTTTTCGGTCTATGTTGTGGGAGTTGACTGGAATTCTGCCTTGCTGATTGGCCCGCCGCTTCTGGTCCTGACTGGAAACAACTGGTCCCCATTCCTGAAGCTACAGGGTGGGCGGGGCCTTGGTGTTGCCGCCGGCACATTGGTGGCCTTTTCTCCGGCCATTCTCGGGGTGGTGCTGGTAATTTACTTTGGGGGCTACCTGCTGACCAAGGAGGCGGGTGTCTGGGCGCTGCTTGCGTTGCTTGCGTTGCCCCTGATGGCTTTTTTCTTTCCCCTAGAGCTTAAAATGATGGACGGTTCCAACCTGACATGGTTCTGCCTGGGAGTACTGGGGCTGGTGATGGTTAAGCGACTCACTTCGAACTGGACCCCTTTCCCCGGCAACCTGTCTCGTAAACGGGTTTTGTTCAACCGACTGTCTCGAGACCGTGACGTGGACGATCGCGAGCAATGGGTCGAACGAATTCCCGGGGCTATCGGCTGACCAACCGCCTACAGGAGCATGCTATGGCCACGGAACCGCGACAGGCGGACCAGGAAGCCAAGGCCAACTTTTGCAACTGGCACCCGGACACTGAGACTCGTCTCTTTTTGCAGCCAATGCGGCAGGAGCATCTGCACTTTGTGCTTGGTGCAGGTGCCGGTGGGCATTCGCTGCAGGGAGTGCGGCCGCGCTGAGAGACTGCCGACGTTCGATGTGCAGCCGACATACTACGCGCGGGCCATCGGTGTCGCGGTGGTCGTTGCAATTGTGGGAGGCCTGCTTTGGTTCGGGCTGAACAGGACCTTTGGTTGGGTGCCGTTCGTCTCATCAATCTTCGGTCTGGCAATTGCTTACGCCATTGGCGAACTGGTGAGCAGGGCGGTTAACCGCAAGCGCGGCATTCAGTTGGCGTGGATCGCCGGTGGGGGGATGGTGGTGGCGTTTTTGATTTCCGGGGGGTTCGGCCAACTCCTGAGCAACAGCTTTATCAATGTAATCTTCAGCTTGCTATTCCTCGGGATAGCCGTCTACACGGCCGCTGCCCGGCTGCGCTGACATTACGCGAGACGGAGGGCGGTGATTTCCCTGCGGAATCTACTCTTCTTCGATTCCGTCCGTGGCAGAGTTGCCCACCCTCAGCTCCTCCCGCAGTCGCTGCAGTGTTTGCCTGGTTACGCCCGGATCGAACGCTCGACGGCCCAGGAAGGCACTCACCCGACGGTCGAAAGTAGTGCGGTCGTTGTCTGCTTGGCGTCCTGCGTACTTGGAGACTGACCGGTAAGCCGCATCCAGAGAGTCGTAGTCCTCGAGGGGGCCCCGTCGATGATGTCGTCGGCTATGCCGAGTTGCTTCAGTTCGTGCTCGATCATTCTGGAGCTGCGGGGCTTCCGCCTTTCCCGGCTCTGCCGCCACTGCTGGGCGAATGCAGCGTCGTTCAACAACCCTTCGGCAGTCAGGAGCGCGACGGTTTGCTCCACGGCCTCCGAGGCGAACTTCTTGCCAAGCCGTTCTCGCATTTCGGCCACCGAGCGTGACCTCGCAGAAAGCAGTCGCAGGGCGGCGCTACGTGCCCGGCTGAAGTCGTTGCTTTCCAAGTGAATAGCCAAATCAATGGCCGGCCCGTCATTCATGAGGTGCCCCTCGGTTGTCCAGATTTACAGGGGCTGCCCGGGTTCCGGGCAGCCCCTGACGTTCCTCTAGTCGAGGGAGGATGGTTCTGAACCGTTGAGGGAGGGAGCGCTGCCGGAGGGGAGGCTCTCGTCTTCTTCCATTTGGTCGAGATCCGGCGACGGGGTAACGAGATCGCTGTTGGCCCGTATGCGGTTTTCCACAGAGGCGGCAATCTCAGGGTGCTGCAGGAGGAATTCCTTGGCATTCTCCCGGCCCTGTCCCAGCCGGGTCTCGCCGTAGGAATAAAAGGCTCCGGACTTCTTGATGATGTCCTTTGAGGCGCCAATTTCCAGCAGGTCGCCCACCTTGCTGATGCCCTGATTGAACATGATATCGAACTCGGCGACACGGAACGGGGCGGCGACCTTGTTTTTCACGATGCGGGCCCGGACCCGGTTGCCGGTTATCTCAGAACCCTGCTTGATGGACTCGATGCGGCGCAGGTCGATGCGGACCGAGCTGTAAAATTTCAGCGCTCGCCCACCGGGAGTGACCTCGGGGCTACCGTACGTGACGCCCACTTTTTCCCTGAGCTGGTTTATGAAGATGACGGCGGTCTTGGATTTGTGGATGGTACCCGTAAGCTTGCGGAGGGCTTGTGACATCAGCCGGGCCTGCAAGCCCACGTGGGTGTCTCCCATGTCCCCCTCGATCTCGGCCTGGGGCACCAGAGCGGCGACGCTGTCGATGACGATGGCGTCTATGGCGCCACTGCGGACCAGCTGCTCGGTAATGTCGAGGGCTTGCTCTGCGCTGTCTGGCTGGGATATGAGCAGCGCATTCAGGTCCAGACCGCAGTTGGCGGCATACGTCGGGTCCAATGCGTGCTCCACGTCGATGTAGGCGGCGACGCCTCCGGCCTTCTGAGTCTCGGACATAATGTGAATGGCCAGAGTGGACTTACCCGCAGACTCGGCGCCGAATACTTCGGTCACACGGCCGCGTGGTACGCCGCCGGTGCCCAGGGCCAGGTCTATTGCGAGGGACCCGGTGGAGATTGATTCCGTTACAAGGCTGTTGCTCATTTCACCCAAGCGCATCACTGCGCCCTTGCCGTGATCCTTTTCTATGCTGCCGAGAGCAATTTCCAGCGCAGCGGCCTTGTCGTTTGTCATCTTATCCTTTTTCATCACCCGGCACTTTCCTCCCGTAGGTATGAGGTAAGACTAACATTTGTTCTAATGCAATTACAACAAGCAACTGTCATCAAATTTAGAATGAGGATAGAAAAGGCTTGTCCTCAGGATGATAAATCAATGAATAGCGAGAAGGGGCTGACAAGAGGTCTTGAAGCGGACCAACCGGCCCGATGCTAGAACTCTCAAGTTCCTCCCTTGAAACCGATGGAGACCGTTCCATTGTCAACGATCACAGGCGTTATCCGTTCGCCATTGGTCAAGCCGAGCAGTTCCGGAATCCGGTCCTCCTGCTTGGACAGATCCACCTCTTCATAGGCGACCTTGCGTTTCCGGTAGTCCATCTTGGCTGCCGCCGAGAAGGCGCAGTCGGGATGAGTGTATAGGATTACCTGGCTCTCTTGCGTCAAATCGCACCCCTGTCAGATGCCGCACTGCAGGCATGTCAATAGCGTTGATATCTGTCTGGATTGTACGCGGCCGGGCCGGTTTGTTCAACGCGCGTGGACCTTGGAGGGAGAAAAGTCAGCAGCTGGCAATCGCGCAATCGACCCTCTGGTGTTATGCTAGAGGTGCCCCAAACGAATGGCGCCAATCCCCTTCAGGGCCTCTTATTCCATGGACCCATCGGACGACCTACCCGCGATCAGTACCGTGGCTTCGCTGCTTGAGGCTTTTTCCGTGGGCGTGGGCCGGATATCTCCCGGTCCTCGGGGTTCCCGCCTGACCGGCGAACCCCGCGTCCTGCTGGAGACAGCTGTTGAATCGCTGACCGCGGATGAAATCGAGCTCGAGGCGCTGGTGTATGGCAATGCCTGCTATGTCCTTGGGCGGCATGACGACGCCTCCGCCGCATATAGCTCCCTTCTTGCCAGGGAACCCGCGAATGTAGAGGCGCGATTCAATCTGGGCCTCGTACAGCTCCGCCTGCGCCACCCGGATGAGGCGGTGCGGGAGTTTACGGAGACGCTGGTCCGTTCCCCGCAACTGGCAGAGGCTTATTATCAGCGAGGCAACGCCTACGACGACCTTGGCGACGTGGAGCAGTCACTGGCTGACTACTCGCGCGCCATCGATCTGGCCCCCGACTATATTCAGCCGATGTACAACCGGGGTATTGTGCTGGCCGGCGCTGGTCGCCACCAGGAGGCGGTGGCGCAGTTTGAACGTGTCATTGAGCTGCGTCCTGATATCGGCAACGCGCACCTAAACCGGGGCGCATCCCTGGACGAACTGGGTCTTCACGAGGAGGCCATAGGGAGCTACACCCGGGCGACGGAACTGAATCCGGACGATCCTCGAGCCCTATTCAACCGGGCCCGGACCTGTTACTACCTGGGTCGGCTACAGGAAGCGCTGGATGACTATTCCGAAGTTCTGCGCTTGGACCCCGAGGACGCCGAGGCCTTCAACAACCGCGGGCTGACCTACGATGCGGTGGGCGACTACGATTCGGCGCTGGCCGATTACGAGCAAGCCCTGGAGGTCAGGCCCGACTTCGCCGAGGCCCACAGCAACCGTGGAGCTGTGCTCGAGGCGAAGGGAGAGGTTGAGCAGGCATTGGAGGCCTATCACGCAGCCCTGACGGCAAACCCCAATCTGGCCTCTGCCCACTACAACGCAGCGCGAGTCTATTCTCAGATGGACGATATTGAGTCCTGTCTGAGGCACATGGACAGCCTGCTTGCCCTGTCGCCGGAAATGGCCGAGGATGCCGCACAGGACGAGCACCTGCAGTGGGCGCTGAGAATGCGGGATATGCGGGACTCGCGGAGCGCTGACTCTCCACCCGGCGTCGGCGGCTAGCCGCTCTCGGACATTCCCTTTGGCAAATCGGGGTCGTGGTCCAGATCGTCGATTACTCCCGGATCCTCGGCGGAGATTCGACGGCGGACAATCATACTCCTCAAAAGCACCAGTACCGCCAGAACTATGAGTCCGGCTACAAGGTCAACATCAACCTGGAAGGCCAGGCTGAGTACCAGCATCAACGTGAATCCAGTGCAGATGCCCCATGCTGAACGCATTTGGTGGTTGCGCATCAGCAACACTGTGGCCACGCCCAGCATTGCCGCCAGGAGGGTCAACTCCGGGACCAGAGCGAAGCTCACGCCTATCAGGGGGGTCATTGCATCGCCGCCGCGGAAGGATGAAAACACGGATGCCCAGTGGCCTACGATTGCGGCTGCGGCAGCTATCAGGGTCAGGGGTCCCTCGATCCCCAAACCCCAAGCACCGGCCACTGCTGCAGTGCCCTTGCCCACATCGCAGAAGAATACCAGCAGAGCGCTTCGACGGCCCACATTCCAGAACACGTTGGCGGTGCCCGCCAGCGTGGTACCGGTGGCGAATATGTCCACACCCTTGACGTAGCGGCTGACCCATTGGGCGAAGGGCAGCGCGCCGAGGAGATAACCAATAACTCCCGATGCGACCAGTTGCAGTATCTCCATCGGGTTATCCATCCTTCCCGTGCGCCCCTGCAGTTCATGCTGCGGGCCCGGAGGGCCTCAGCATCTTCCATCCCACGAGGAATACAAATATATCAGCCGACAGCCCGTGGTGATAGGCAAGGGTGCCGCTCAGCAGGGCAATCGCCTTTTGATGACACTTGCTCCTTGCCAAGCCTCATGACACCTCTCTACCATTAACCCAATGCATGCTCCCCTACATACGTCCCTCACGGCACTCCGTCGCCCGACCGAACAGACCCAGTGGGACAAAATGGGACAAAATGGAGCGGGAATCAAAAATTTCCGTCACAATCGGCCCAATTCGTAGCTGACGGACAGTTGAAATGGGACAAAATGAGAAAAGAGACCCAATTTTCTGTCCCAAGATTCCCACTCACCATCCCGGCATGAACACCCGGCAGCCCGGCCAACCATATGGTGTATCTGCGTATGTCTGCAGAATTTTCAAATTCCGAACTTGTCCGAAAGAGAAATCAAACTGTGATGACCTTGTCCATGGCGATGAAGTATCGCAACTTGGCTGGCTTTTGCTGTTACCCGATTGTCCAGGATCCCTCAAGGCTGAGTGGTATGCGTGGCTCGACTGGTCGTAGAGCCAGGGCATCAGCTTGCGCCGATTCGGCTATACTGGCGGCGATAATTCTGTGCGTTTGCATGGCACCTGTGCATAGAAATCTGGCGGGTACTCCCGCAAGGAATTGATGGAAATGACTGGACCCACTTCTGCCGGACCGTTGGCCGGAATGGTTGTTCTCGACCTTACCCAGATTTTGGCCGGGCCCATGTGCACTATGGTCCTAGCCGATATGGGCGCGGACGTCATTAAGATAGAGAAGCCCCAGGGCGGGGATGACAATCGCAGGATGGGGCCGCCGTTCGTCAAGGACTGGTCGGCAGGGTTCCTGGCAGTGAACCGTAACAAACGCAGCCTGGCGCTGGACCTTCGCAGCGAAGAAGGAAGAGGGGTCTTTCGGCGGCTGGTCGAAGATGCCGACGCCGTGGTGGAAAACTTCCGGCCCGGTGTGATGGAGCGATTCGGACTGGGATTTGACGCTCTGACATCCTTAAAGCCCAGGCTCGTTTACTGCACAATTTCGGGATTCGGCAGCACAGGGCCGGCCCGCAACCGCGGGGGGTTCGACCTCGGTGGCCCAAGGCGTAAGCGGCCTGATGAGCATTACCGGCCACCCCGATATGCCGCCGGCCAAGGTGGGAGTGCCCATCACCGACCTGACCGCCGGGTTGTATGGCGCCAACGGAGTGATGGCTGCCTACATCCACGCGCTGAAAACTGGGCAGGGCCAGATGGTTGATACTTCGCTGATGGAGGCGGGGGTTGCCTACACCGTTTGGGAGTCGTCGGTCTACTTTGCCGAGGGAGAGATTCCGGGGCCGCTGGGGTCGGCGCACCGCGTGTCGGCGCCCTACCAGGCCCTGAGAACCAGAGACGGCTACCTGAACCTGGGCGCCGCGACGCAGCCTACCTGGGAGCAGCTCTGCCGTGCCATCGGACGGGAGGACCTGATGGACGACGACAGGTTCCGCAATCCGTGGGATCGCAAGGCAAGGGAGCGGGAGCTGGCCGACCTGCTGGAGGAGACCTTCTCTACCCAGGACACCGAGCAGTGGCTGGAACTGCTGGATAATGCCGGAGTGGTGGCAGGGCCGATCTACAACATGGAGCAGGTCTACCGGGATCCGCAGGTTCTGGCCAGGGAGATGCTGGTTGACACCGAGGATCCGGAGCTGGGAACGATACATAACATAGGTGTGCCGGTGAAGCTGTCGGCCACGCCAGGCAGGATCAGGCGACGGGCGCCCGCCCTCGGCGAGCACTCAAGAGAGATCCTGCTGGAGCATGGCTTTTCGCAGGAAGAGGTGGACAATCTGCTGGAGGACGGAGTAGTCCTCGGAAATCAGGGCAGCGGCGTGAGGCGGTAGCGGACAGATTGACCGACCGCTACTCCTCGCCGAAAAACCGGCGGCGGTCGGATTCGCCGAGGGGAGCGCCCGGGCCGCTGAGGAAGGTGTCGGGGTTGCGCGTCCGGTCTTCGCGCCAACTTCCCATCGCTCTGCCCCTGATGGCATCCGCTTCAGGGCCTGTGTCCATCAGCAGTTGGGTCTGCCAGTTCTCCATGGCATGAACCACGCTGAAGTACTCATTCTGGACTCGGCGTAGGCTTGGCCTGCCGCGTTCCAGTTGTCGCTGGCCAGCAGATGGTCCCTGAGGACGCGGGCGTCGCGCAGGGCATGGAAAGGCCCTGGCCCCAGGTGGGGTCGGTGTTGGCAGCGGCGTCGCCCACCAGCGCCACACCGTTGCGGTAGGCCGACTCGGCCCAAGTTGTACGCCCCTCGAAGGTGGCCAGCGGGCCGGCCGGAGAGGCGTTGGCGTAGACCTCAGCGGGCACCCCGGATGCAGTGCATTAGTCTAGGACGATCCTGATATCGTCGGGGCCGCCGTACCTCCTGGCGCTTCCGTGGTCGTAGCATAAGTAAACTCGGGCCCGTCCTTCGCCTTGGGGGAAGTTGAGGATGAAGTGGCCATTCTCGGTGTCCAGCCAGGCGTGGGTGGCGTCGTCCGAAAGGGCAACGTTGTCCATCAGCACGCCGGAAACCAGGTTACGCTCGAGGTCCTGACGCACCGGAAAGCCTGCCCAATTGCGGGTCGGCGAACCGCGCCCGTCGGCGCCGATGACCATGCGTGCCGATAACTGATGGGCGTTACCATCTTGTACAAGGGAAACCACCGGGCTGGACCCGCCACCTTCGGCGGTGAGGCCGGAGACTCGTACGCCCCGCCAGACGTCGGCACCTGAGTCCAGTGCGTGCCGCAGCATGGCATCTTGGAGCGCGGAGTGATAGCAGGCCATCACCGGTTCCTGCACCCTGGTTGTGCGAGTCAGGTCGCGGCGGCCCGACCGGTCTGCGCCCTGGTAGGAGTCCCAGAACGGCAACGCGTTTGCTCCGGCACTCTCGAGAACGGTTTCCAGCTCAAGCAGCCTGACCTCGGCCACGCCCCATGGCATGATGGCCTCGCCCCTCACGCGATCCCTGAAGGATTCCTCGGCCTCGAGGACAAGGGTGCGCGCCCCGGCGACTGAAATCCCGGCGGCGAGGGCAGCGCCTGCGACTCCGCCGCCGATGACGATCAAGTCGTAGCTGTGGTTCACCTAGATACACGCTCCATTCGCGGTGTAGGGGACATAGGCACTTGATCAGACTGCAGTGCGCCAGGGGAGGCCGTCGGTGGCGGCAAGGAAGCCGTCGATAAGGACGGGGCTGGAACAGATTACGCTGGGCGTGAACAGGCCCGCATCGTTGCCCTGCCTGTCCACCACCCTGCCCCCGGCTTCCTTGGCCAGGATCAGACCCGCCGCGATGTCCCACGGTGAGAGCGAGTGGTGGAAGAACAGGTCGACCCGACCCGAGGCGGCGTAGGCAACGCCAAGTCCAGCCGAACCCATCAGGCGAACGCTGTACATCCCCGGCCAGAGTGAGCGGAGCAGGTCGATGGCGAGGCCCGCCTTTTCGTCGACATAACCCAGGTCGAAGCTGAGCAGCGAGCGGGACAGCTCTGTGGTCTCAGAGACGGAAATGGGCGAGCCGTTCAAGAAAGCTCCCTGTCCCCTGGCGGCGGTAAATGTCTCCTCGCGTACCGGGTCGTAGACCACGCCCGCGATGACCTCGTCGCTGTCGGCCAAGGCCACGATGGTGCAGAAGTGGGGGATGCTCTGGGCGTAGTTCCGCGTTCCATCCAGCGGGTCGACCACCCAGCGATACTGGGATTTCCCTGCGATAGGGCTGGATTCCTCGGCCAAGATGCCGAAGTCGGGGAAAGCGCTGGTGAGAATCTCCAGCACCGCTTTTTCGGCCTTCACGTCGATGTCCGTGACTATGTCGGCGCGGCCCTTGAAGGTGATCTCGCGGTCAGAGTTCCAGCCCTCCCGGATAATGGCTCCCGCCGCCTTAGTCGCCTCCAGGGCAACAGCCATGGCGTCGCGCCCGTCGGAAGTGGTTGGGAGAGCGCTGTCAGTGTGTTCGGTCATAGCTCTAATACCTTTGCATAATCCAACGTTGATTTCTTAGGGGTGTGAAGACCGGGGCGCCTGAGCCGTCGAAGCCGGTATCTATTTCCACTGCAATTGGTTCACCTTGGGATAGAAGGTTATGGACCTTTCATTCAGAACGGCGGTCTGTCCCTCTCTCATGACGAAATTGTAGATCTGCCCAACGACCAGTTCAGTAATTGACCCAATATCAGCCGCATCAGGTGCTGATCCTCCCGGGGGCAAAGGCAACTGGTCCGGTGAAAATGTGCCGCTGGCGTCATAAATCGACCATCCCTGAGTGGCTCCGTCGAAATAGGCGACGAAGAGCAGGTTATCACCCAGAGGAGAGAGGTCGGCGGCAATGGGGAGCGCAGGCGCAGGCGTCGGCGTTGGCGTTGGCTCAGGAGTGAAAGTGGGCACGGGAGTAGCTTCCGTTTGTGACGTGATCGTCGGCTCGGGAGGTAGAGTGGGGTTTGGCGCCTGCGTAGCCGTCGGCTCCGGGACGGTCGTATTAGTGGGCTGTGGGACAGGGGTGTCCGTAGGCTGCGGCGCAGCTGGACCCGGAGTGTCTGTAGGTACTGGCGAAGACTCAGGTTGCGGTGTGTTCGTAGGGCCCGCAGTAGGTTCGGTCGCTTCAGAACCGCCGGATGCAGGGGTTGAGGTATCCGCGGGTTCAGTGCTTTCCCCTCCGCATGCGAGAACGCTAATGGCAAGCAGAGCGATGAGCGCCAGGATTGCTAGTTGCTTCATTTTTCCTCTAGTCAGTTGGTTCGATTGAGAGACGAGGTTAAATCATCCCGGAGGGTCACTCTACCATCGATCGACCCTGCGCAGCGGGGGTGACCGGCGGTGTAGGGCCGGGCATTGGCGTTCGACTGTAGCCTAAAATAGACGTCGATTATACGCTTTTCGACGGCAACAAGAATGCTTCGCGGCGCGCGAGACACTGCGTCGCCTGAGGGCCGGCGCTGCGAAAGAGCTCAATTGACTTCGATCTGGTTGCCCTTCCAATCCTGACTGATTCTGCGAGGCTATCGGGGACACCGAACGCCTACCCCCAGGCGAGGAGATTTGTTCCGGTATAGAGTGGCTTGCCATTTATGTCCGCATTCGTTGTTACCCTGAGGTGATAGATTCCTCCCGGAATCAGGCGAGTCAAGCTGCCGATGGACGAACGGCTTGGCGGTGGCTGACCTCCCGGCAGCGTTAACTGGTCGGGTGAAAAGGTCCCACTGGGGTCATAAACAGTCCAACCCCGATTCTGAGGGTCAAAATGGGCGATCCACAGCAAATTCCCACCCAATGAAGCCAAGGCTGACGCAACTGGTTCCCCTTCAGGTTGCGGTTCGCCGGAGTGTAGGGTGGCTGTCGACTCGAAGGGTTCCACTATGAAACTCACAGAGGCGGTTTGATTGCCTAAGCTTACCCTCACACTATGCCGATTTGGACCCACGTGAGGTATGTGCAGGGTGGTACTGAAGCTGCCATTCGCGCCTGTCTGGGAGAAAGTGCGCGGTAGGACCGAGACTCCGCCAAATTCAATGGACGGTACCCCCCCTAAAGATGGGAAATTGCCTCCTGAGATAGTTACGATGTCTCCTGGGGAACCTCGATCAGGACGGACCAAAAGCCAGGCCTCAGGTACTGGCGACGTCGCGGTAATCGGGATGGGTGTCGGGAATGTTGGTGGTGGAGGGGCATGAATTGCATTTGGGCAGTCATCCCAGTTTGCTCCGGAGGGCGACCTCGTGGGATTGGCTGTATTGGCAATGGCTAGGGCAGTACCCGTGTCCCGCGCTTCCGACATATGGCAGAGCACCCGTCTTTCTCCCTCGGTTATCGTGTCGTCGGACAGCCATTGTTGTCCCACCACTGTATCGAAAGCGGGAGGGTGCAGTTCTTGAATTCTCTCCAAGTAATGAAGGGCTTCCCGCTCAATTCCCGTTAGGCCGTCCCACGCCCAGCTCAAGCCGGAAAGTTCCGAAGGTGGTTCCGGCGTCAAGGTGGGGGTCGGAAAACGGGGGGTCGGGAATGCAGTGGCGTCTATCGGCAGGGGGGTTGCGGTGGGAACAGGCCCTATGGGCCGGGGAGGTACTAGATTCGGGGTTGCACGAGGTAGGAACACAAAAGTAGGCACGGGGCGAGGGGCAGATTGAGTTGTTGGGTCTGGCGCTGTCGTGGGTGGCGTTTCCTTCGTTGGCGCCGTCGTTTCGCGGTCAGGGTGGGTGAAATGGTTGGCACGGGCGTAGGTGCAGCGGTTGCCACCGGCACGGTTGGCTCAGGAGCTTCCGTGTTATGAGAAGACGGGGATGCAACTCCGCAGGCTGCCGCGCCGGATATGAATAAGGCAGTGATCATCACCGCCGCGACTGCCGCGATTCTCGATATGCTTCTCCCGACTGGCCCGTTGTCCCACCACTTTGTTATCCTCGTGCCAGCCCCATCTTTTCGTAGACTTCCTCTATGGTCTTGGCAGCGATGGCGCGGGCGCGCTTGCCGCCTTCGTCAAGGATCTCTCGGACATAGCCGGGACGGGACTCGTACTCCTTGCGGCGATCGCGCATGGGCTCGAGGAAATCGTTGATGCTGCCGGCCAGCTGACGCTTGCAGTCGACGCAGCCGCGGGCAGCGGTCGTGCACTCACTGTAGACGGCGCTGACCGCCGTGGATGAGCTGAACATCTGGTGCATCGAATAGACGTTGCAGACCTCTGGTCTGCCGGGGATGTTGCGGGTCGTGCGCTGCGGATCGGTGAAGGCGGTCAGCACCCGCTTGGAGGTGTCCTCTGGGGTGGCAGCCAGGTCGAGGTGGTTGTCCAGCGACTTCGACATTTTCGCCTGCCCGTCGAGGCCCACCAGTAATGGAGATTCGGTGAGCTTTGCCTGCGGCTCGGGGAACGTGTCTCCGAAGAAGTTGTTGAACCGCCGCGCGATCTCCCGCGACAGTTCGATGTGCGGCACCTGATCGCGGCCTACTGGAACGGTGTCCGCCTTGTACAGGATGATGTCGGCGGTCTGCAGCACAGGATACCCGACCAAGCCGTAGTTGACCGTCTCCTCGGTCTCGTCCATCTGTCGCACCTTCTCTTTGAAGGTGGGCACGCGTGTCAGCCAACCCAGAGGTGTGACCATGCTGAGAAGGGTGTGCAGCGTCATAACCTCGGGCACCTGTGACTGGACAAACACGATGCTTCGTTCAGGATCGATGCCGGCGGCCAGCCAATCCAGGATCATGTCCTCGATGTTGGACTGAATCTGGTTGGTGTCGGCCTGCGACTCGACAGTAGTCAGCGCGTGGATGTCCACGGCGCAGTAGATACAGTCGTAATCGTCCTGCAGTTCCACCCAGTTCTGGAGTGCGCCGAGGTAGTTGCCGAGGTGCAGCAGTCCCGTGGGCCGCATGCCCGAGAAAATCACTCCCTGCTTGCTGCCGTTGCTCTTCGAGACCATAATTTCGGTCCAAACTCAAATATCAAATAGATTCGGGAACAGTTTTCAATCTATCACTGTAGGCCTAGCGGCGCAATTGCGCCGTGTACCCTGAACCCTAGCCTGAGGGGGCTGGCGGACAGGTAAGAGTGGCTCAGATGTCGGTCCACTTGAAGTGTTTTGAGATGAGGCGATAGAAGCCCCACCCGAAGTTGCGGGCGTGAATCTCGCCGTATGACTGCCAACGACCAAGCTCGGCACGGGCCTCGGGATGGATGCGGTCCCCAGGAACCAGCGTGGGCAGAACGCCCTCGTTGTCGCATTCGTACAGGGCCAAGTACTTGGGTCCGGTGTTGAAATTCGCCAAAGCCGGGTGGTCAACACTTCGGAACCGGGCGCCTATGGCATATCCCGGTACTTTGAGAACCCCCGGGAGGTGGGACTCCGTGAACCAGCGGTCCCACTCCTCTTCGTGCGCCGGGTCGACATCGGCAGTCACGATGCTGAGTGGCCGGTCGGACAGCAACAGCGGATCGCGCAAGGGAGCGCCACTGATCTGTTCGTAGACGTTGGAGACGTGGTCGCCTATCCCCTGCAAAGTGTTGAAAACAGAGAACTCTGACGTGGCAATGGGGTGCAGATCCGGTCCGCCAAAATGCAGCAGCGACGGCAGATCATCTGCGCTGCGAATCCCATATAAGGCGGTGAACCTGGTACCGCCGTCGATGTTGACGTAACGTTGGGCTATACTTTTACCCGGGT